GTGCTATGCGGGCCACGCGTGCCACTCAACTGGTTGTGTGCGTGCGAGCCGGTCAGACGAGGTTGTTCAATCTGTGACGTTCACGTCACACAGCGGTCAAGCACGAGGTCGTCTGGTCGGGTCAGCCGGTCCGTCTCAGGTCGGGTTTGCCACCGGTGAATCAGCGGATATTGCCATCGTTTCTGATAAGAGCGGACTCTGGTAGCTGGTGCCAGGCGTTGGTCATTCAGCTAGCGGGCACAAAGAATCTCCCGACCGGTTTCTCTCCTGGTGAAACTGGGACTGCTGTCCGGCAGTCATGGAAAGTGAATGGGAGCGATTGCTGGAGACTTCTCGAAGCTTCCTCTTTATATCACCATGGGAGTTTAGAAAGTCGTCACTGTTGTGCGCCATTTAAAATGCCCGTATACTGAAGGCCGCTCACGCCCAAATGCGGAATTTATTGAGGTTTTAGGGCGCACGACCTTACGTGTTATTCTAGTTTTTCATACCTAACAGGCGACTCCCACCAGATGGAAATGTTGGGGAGGGCAGTTGTTTTTGTCGCTTGGATGTTTCGTCACACAATGTGGGCGCGGATGTTGGTCAGTGGGTCGAATGGCTTCCATGAGACCTTAGAGCTCCTCCAATCCTACCGAGCTCATCTTTGTGTTCCTGAATGTACCTACTATGTTTTCGTTATGCGCTGGCTGCACACTGATGAAAGTGACGGTGCGTTTGCTGGTTCTATGGATTCCAGCTTACTAAAACGTATGATATTAATTATCGCTTCGGAGATTGATAGGACTGCTGGTGCATTACTGGCAGGTGTTTTATTTGACACCTTTTTCACTTAGCCTCCGTCATCCACACCATTGACGAACTTCGTCTGTCCCTCTTTGTCCCTCGTTCCCGAATCCCGGGTCATCACATCCGCGTCTCTGGTCCCACAGTCTTCCACACCTTCCGCCTGTTTCTCAAACACCAACCAACGACCCTGGCCGGCGGCTCGCTCAGCACGGCCGGCATTTTGCATACCGGACGCTGCATCTGCTTCCTTTACCGGCTGCATGCATACAGCAGCGCGCCCGCTCTGCCTTTACAATCACCTGTGACCGCGGGGGACGTTGACCGCCTGCCCTCGCTCCCCCTCCCCCCTCCCTCCCCCGGGCGGCCGCGCGCGTGTTACCGGCTGATGCGGCGTTGGCGTCACCGGCCGGGCGCCGCGGGGCACCGGTGACCTACATCCCTCGCTCGGTCACCCGCCCGGGAAGGCAGGCGGGCGGGCCGGGCGGGATGCGGCACCATTCCGGGCGGGGTCGATGGGTGAGGAGGCACAAAGCGTGTCGGATGGGGTACGGTGTACCGGGAAGACTCACCGCCAGTCCGTTAGGTTGACGCTGCCGCTAAGGGTGGTTATGCACTGGGGTGTGTCAGAAACGGGCTGAAAGAGCACTGACGAGCTGTTTTCCGCCCAAACCCATGCTGAGGTCGCGATAGAGGCTCTCAATGGTGTATGGTTACCTCGGGTGACATTCCGACGTAACACGTCCCGTTCCAGAGGACTGTCATCAATAGGTCTGTTCCAGTCGCACTTCCTAACACCTTTAAGCTCCTTCAAGAGCAAGATAGATGAGCTTGGAGCAGGGCCCTCCTTGGCTTTGTAGGGGCTAGAGCTGCCACTGGAACAGGGAAGCAATCTTGGAGGAGTTTACATAGAGGTGTTAGGAAGTGCGACTGGAACAGACCCATTGAGTAGGGCTGTCCGCATCGTGCCGGCCTATTTTGAGGGGTAGCCTCGGGCGGTTCCGGGACGGTCCACGTCTCTTTAGTACGAGCCCGTGAAGGGTTGACTCGGAATCGTACACAGCACATTCCAATGTGGGAGTGACAGAAACTGGGCCACAGTGACGGGCGGGCCTTCACTGCAGTCTCCACGATAATGGAACGTCGAACGATTTCTAGGACCATGAATGAAGTTTCCAACCATACGCTGCCATCATCTGGGTTTTTACCGTAAAGCTCAGTAAATCACATCATTATATATTTCATGAACCTCAGTCCGTGGCATTTAAAATGATGGAGTCCAGGCACGCACGATTGGCAGTTTTACGGCCATTGTTTGTGGCCTATTCGTGACTTGTGTTCCTTTTGTTGTGTGGTGAAAGCGTCACACTGCAAATCTGATGCTACTGGGTCACTGTTCCTCCCAATTTCGTATTTTTCCGTACCGTCATATGAGCATTGAGCATAGTTCGTCTTTTTGTAGGGATTCGTTTCGTCTGTTGATACTAATTTCAGAATAATTGCTGGGAGGCCAATAATAGAACATGTGGCTGCTGGGGCCATCATTACCTTGCTCGTCTCTAATGGCTGGCAGGAGTAGGAGGCTGGATGATCGGTATTTGTACATATAATGCTCAGCGCTGAACTGACCCGCAGTTCTGCCCCTCGGCGGCCGGCGCTCGTCTGTCCCCGTTGTTTTCCCGTCAGCCGTTGCTTGGGTCGTCTGCCGCGCTGTCTCCTCTCTGTCATTCCCGCTGGCGCTGTCTATGCTGATCATTCTGTTATTCTGTTCCCGTCTGGATTGTTCGCCCACTCAGCACAACGTGATGGTGTTCCGTCTCGTCCCGTCCCGACCAGCAGCGTCGGCAGACGCGAGCGGAACCCGCTAATGGGTGGCCCCGGCTGTGATCCCCTCCCTCCTCCCAGAATCTCCCGACCGGCACCGTCGGCAGGCGGACCTGTCTCTCCGAGTTCCCTCCCCCTCCCCCCCCTTCTTCTCCCGGCTCCTAACCCGGTCAGGCGGTGCCGAGCACTTACCGGTCTGATTCTGTGAGCCATACGCCGTGTCTGTGTGGGGCTCGACCATGCGTGCCGTCCTAATGTCCGTCACCATTCTGTCATCCGCCTCCCGGCCCTGTCACTGGGCTGAGGATGGAACAACTCCGCTCTCGGAGATCCACAGTCTTGTGCGCTGAAGTCGTGAATGTAGGTCGTTAATGTGTCCTCCAAAGGTGACATTGTGACGAATGATGGCAGCTAAGAAGCTTCAACGGATTTTACTATGCTTCTCCACCCTCGTTAGATGGGGATTACTGTCACAAACAATATCCATATCGTCAGCACGGTTGTCGGTTTCCACGAGGATCAGTGCTGCTGTGAGCTCGTGTTGGGAGGCTCTGGTGTGAATTACAGTCGCTGCTCTGGGCGCGGCTCGCCTGGCTGCTGTCCAGGAATGTTTCGGAGATGAGCCGTAGGCTGGGTGTGCGGCGGGCGTGACCAACGGCAGTACATCATCGTGCCCATCCCTACTGAGAGGGTGCACTGATGCGAGATTGGACTCTGCGCAGTGCACACCGGATCAAACCGAAAACCTCGGGGCAGTAGACGTTATAGTCCGCAGCCACGTCGTGCAGGCTTTATGTCATGCATGTGTCAGTGTGATGTCCTCTGAACCGCGTGGTAACGAGATGTCACTCGTCACGGTCTGTGTTGGATATTTCATTATCTCCAACCATACGTGAAAGCCCATCGCTCTGGCTCTGGACGGACTCCCGTTCTTCCATTCCATTATATCCAGTTTTAGACCGTAACTAGCGTTATGTTCTTATCGTCAGTGGCGGATCCAGGGGGGGGGGGGGCAAAATGGGCATTTGCCCCTCCCAAACGGCATAATTTTAACATTACGCCTATGCGCGAGGCATGGAAAGAATCGATAAATTGTTATGGTTTGCCCCCCCCCAAAAAAAAAACAAAAAAACTCTGAGCTGGATCCGCCACTGCTTATCGTATCAATTTTTACATCGTTTTGTACATTTACCTATATACCCGTCCTCTCTGTGACTTCCGTGGTAGGTAGGCACTTTGCACTTTTCCGCTGCTGGATGTGTCATTCCGCCCCGCCCCGTTCCGTGCCAATCCACACCGTTCCGTTCCGTGACCGTTGGAAGCGCTGTGTGTCGATCCCATTGACCCCAGACGGTGTGATGTGTCGTCACCGGCCCCTCATCAGCAGACAGTCAGACCTGTCCTTGCTGGCGGTGCCCTGCTGACGGTGTACTGCTGAAGGCCCTCTGTTGCCGGTGCATCCTTCGCCGTCTGGCTAATCAGCATTGAATGGCGGTCTCAGCTCGGGGGATAAGGGAGGCGCATGGCAAACTATTGAGGACACTTCCTGGAATGAAATGATATGAACGCGGCACTAGTGGTTGTATGAACTGTGCAATCGCGCATAGGTATGCCAGCTACAGGGTATATTGAATTAGGTGCCAGCTATATAAATGGCATGTCAGGCCTCGGGGACAAACAGATATGATAAGCCCTAACACGGAAGAGTTTCTACAATTTTCTTGTCAGTGGCATTGAGCAGTACTTCTAGAAGGCGCTACTTTGCATCTTTTGTTGGCTACAATTGCGCTTCGAATTCTACGGAATTCACACCGATTTTATTGTTGATAAAAACTGATGCGTTGACTCTTACGTATGAGTTGTTTACTTCCAAAGGACTTCGTGTATGCAGTGGATTTCGTTTGACGATTGGCCGATTTTAACACTACCCAGACTCAGGGCACTGTTACAACACCTAGCTGTTCTCTCGGAGGGGGAGGGGTGGGGACTCGAAAGTGCATCATTCGACCATTTCCGCTCTGTTTTCTCTCACCGAAGAGTGAAAGCCTTCTGTCCAGTCCCGCCCGCCGTCAGCCGTGGCAGCCCCCTGTTGCAACGTCCACGGCCGCCGCGTCACGTACCGTGACCGTGACGCGTGACGCGTTACCTCACCTCGGCTGTTTGCTCACCTCGCTGTCCTGTCTCTACGCCGTCTACCTCTGGGTTACCCCTGCCCCCCGTTCTGCCCCCCGGTCCGCCCGCATCCCTGCAGGCCCCGCCCCGACCGCTGCCGCCGGCGCGGCGCGTCCACCGTCGCCCCGCTCTGTGCGCCTGCAGTGTGCCCCCGGCAGCCCGCGGAGCACCACCGGACACCTCCACTGACCGGCCATGTCCCCCCGCTCCTCTCACAGTCGCAGCGGGTCGCTGCCGCCACACACCGCCATGAGGACGGCCAAGTGGTACATGTGCGTCTTCCTGGTGGCGTTCCTCTACTTCTACGTGATGCTGATCAAGCAGGTGCGAGGCGCTGAGGTGCCTCCGCGGCCGCTGCTGCCGGCCGAGGACCGCCAGGCGCCGGCGTACGAGCCGCCCCAGTTCGACCCGCAGTTCCAGGACGGCGAGACGGACTCTGTCGGCTTCAGCTACCACAACTACGACCAGCTGACGGCCTACATGCGGAAGGTGGCGGCAGAGCGGCCCGACATCACGGCGCTCTACTCGATCGGCACCTCAGTTCAAGGTGGGTTCTATTCATCCGCCCTTCCTTGTTATTACGATAAAGCTCCGTGCCTGTGGTGACCCTTCAAACTCGAGTAAGATGAGCTCTTACTTTGCCGATGACTTAGGAGTGCTCTTTTGAATCTTGTGTAGAGTGAGAAATAAGCAGGTTGCGTTTTGATCTTTCATTATTCATAAAGTGTGTATACTTTTTGCGATAAGTATCATCGAAACAGCTAACGTTTGATGCACTCATTTATGCTCAGTTAAGATACGGATGAAGAATAATGATTTAAGTACTTCTTCGATGTTATCGGAAATGATCGGAAGTCGTTATCTTTGCTTACCGCTTCAGTTGATTGATCCCAGTTGAACTGGACATCAGGGGTTTCCTCCCATCACCGATTTCCCTCATTTATATGTAAGTCGTACTAAAAAACGGATGTCTCTCCTATATTTTGTACAAAACCACCGTTGTAACTGAACTTCACAATGATTTGTTTCTTATTGTGTTACCGTTACCAGCATAAGTGTCCTTCCTTGCCTATCCGATCAATTGTCCGGCAAAAAATGTCGGTAACTGGGTTTTATGCTGCGTATAAACACATTGGAGGTCATTTGTAATGATTCAGCAATCCCTATTCTTTGCTGCCTTTCTAATGGTTTTCGTATTCATTCACCGACGACTCTGTTTACATATCCCATTGACGTCAGCGGTGATTGTTGTGCTCGGTTTACCTGGCGGCAGCCGTTAGTTACTCCAGTGTCGGGTTATGTGCAGCTAGTGATGCAGTGAGGCTCACCGACGCCCTCCCCGCTCCAGGTCGTGAACTCTGGGTTCTGGTCGTCTCCGCCTCACCCTACGAGCATATGATCGGCAAGCCCAACGTGAAATACGTCGGCAACATTCATGGCAACGAGGCGATCGGCCGAGAGGTTCTCATTCACCTGATCGAGGTAAGTTGGTGACGTCGCCGGGAATTTACACACCAGGTGCGGGCGGCGAGCTGTAAAAATCCCCTGTAATCCGTACACTGTCTTCCAGTCTAGACGGGGAGCAGCGGTGCGGTTGCCCCGTTCTACCGCCGCGTTGGGCTTCTCCAGGGCGGTCGTTCCCGGCCAGTCGGTCGTATTAGTAAAGTAATCTTGGTCGTTCCCACGCCGGCAGCCTCAGAGGAAGTCAGTGTGCGGTGGGGAAGCTGGCTCACGGGCCCGTAATGCGGCAGAAATCCCTGAACGCAGGGAGGGGACACTGAAAACCCCGGCCGCTGCGGCGGCTCATCCCGTGCCGCCGAGGACCCGGCTGGCCCGAGGCGGCGGCTGGCCGTCCAGTGCGGGATTTCCGTGTCCAGTCAGTCGCCCCAGCCGTCGCTATGCCGCGCTTGGTGCGGGCTGTGGAGGTGTGCCCTCGAGCACGTATAGGCCACGCACGTATAGGGGTGGGGACTGGGGAGCCTCGCCTTTTGTGTAGGCGGAGCGTGTTTTGTTTGGCTTGGGTCTCCGCTACAAAGAAGGAACACTTCATAAATGTTACCCACTTTATTACCCGTTCTGGTGTCAACTGACGGGAAAAGTAAATACAATAGTTTGACTATCATCCACCTTTTACAAACACTTTAAAACTAATCGACGTGCTAGTATGTTATCCGCATTTGCATTCAGCCAATTCTCCCAAATCACAAAGCCAACATTCCGTCGCCCAGCACGGCCCACACCGCCGTGTAGACGATGTTTAGTGCCTCCGTCTCCGTTAGTCTGCTCGCGACCTGCGACCCGCTGGGGAACGGCTCACAGCTTTGCCATCCGTATCGCCATTGTGCCGGTGCTTGCATAAGGTGCCCTTGCTCTTGTCCCTCGGTGTGGGACGGATTTGCCTAGTGACTAGACTGGGATGGCTCTACCCCCAGTGTCACCCCTGAGATAGATCAGCAATTAGCTTCTTGTATCTCTTCATGAGACTGATCTGCCCGCGGCACTAAACGGCTTTACATATGTTACAGTGTGTCCGCGAAATCCGTGAGTTCGCAAAGTCACTGGTTGATCCTAGGGACTCCGCGGAGTCACGTAAACTCTCGTGAATCCGCGAAATCACTGCCGAGGCTCCGCGGATTTACTAGAGTTTTCAGTGCGTCCGTGAAGTCACTGAAGAGTCGCGGGGATCTGCGAACTTCCTAGTTAAAGGTAGTGTGCCACCTTTGAAAGATTTCCCATTTTATTTTTCCTAGGATAAGAAGCTTCTGTTTTTACCTAATATCGCAAAAAAAAATCAAAAATGGGCCTGGAATAGTGCCTTTTTCGCCTAAAAGTTTTTCGGTTTTTAGATATGTATAACAACTGTAGTGGGCTCACCTGCAAACAGGCGTCGGGCAACAATCGCGAATGCGGCGCACTTGTGACAATAAGCAAAGGTCATTATAGTGTTACGACCATACGACGTACGGGAATGAGTTATCAGCTGTCTAATCGTAGACAACACAATGTCGAGCCTTAAACTGTAAGCCCGTATTGTATTGTTTCTTTTATTTGGCTGTCGAACATTATTTATGGTTTGAAATATGATTTTATGTAAAATAATTGATATGAAAAAGCCGTCTTATAAGTTATGACCCCATTTCACCACACGCAAGTGGCAGAAATGACAATGACCAGCTGACGCATTTTTCTTGGCCGAAGTCAGAGCGCGCGGCCCGACGCACCACGCGTATTTGGAAATTCCGACCTCGACGAGCATCAGAAGCCACCTAACAGGCGTGTTCGAAACCGCAGGAGATGATGATGAACGGGTTTATCGAAACTTGATTGGATGAGCATATCGGTAATAGCGATTTCAGTGTGTGCATTTATTGTTCATAGTGGTGTGAAATGTGGTTGGGGTACGACCGACAACCCGTCGGGGCGAATTTCGCACTGGGGTACTCAAAATTTGAAGAATTTAAGACGTTTCCATGAGTTTTGAAGGTATGGATAAGTTCTAAAAATCCGGTTCTCCTTATCTGGGCCATTAACTCCATATGGTCCAAGAAAGCTGGCACACTACCTTTAATCCGCGGACTAGCGATTCTTTTTCAGTGAATCCGCGAAATGCCGATTCTTTTCACTCATATGCGAGTTAAAATGATTGCAGCGGATTTCAGCTGTCTATAACACTGTTCGAGGTGGGTGCGTCTGTCCGTTTATACCTAGGTCCCGACACGATAAACATACACACGGTAGATACCTTCGGTCGGATGACCCCCCATGGTTTGTCGCAAATTTCTCGTGAAACAAGCAGCTGATCGCGACGAAACTTTCCGTGCCCTCGAGCTCATCAATTTTACACACCTAAGAATTCCTTGACCCCTGACCCAACTGACTTTTTGACCCGTGACCTATTTCTCGAGACCATGCTTGGCCAGAATTGCGATTCGGCGCATGCCAGCTCACATTATCCGCGCGGCGGCGCGTTTCCAGTCTTTTTGGGGTTTAAACGTTCAAACATGTTGTAATAGTGCTGTTGCAATGCAGTATGGTGGATGACAAGGTCACGTTAAAGGCAGGTCAAGGTCAATGACCTTTGATGACCTTGGTTCACTTTTTTAGTTTTACTTGTTTCTAGAGTAGTTTTTGGAGCTGATTTTGAATTTATCAGCCATTTGAACATTTACGAAGTATTTGTGGTGCCTTCGTAACATCTTACGAAGCTGTCAAGGGTACGCAACACCTAGGTACTTTGAATAGCAGGCAGGACGCCTATTGGTTGCCCTGACCTAACCTAACCCGACCTGGCTGATATACGGGCTATATACGGCCTTGGACCTGGCATATATTTCATGAAATGCATGAAGAGTCTGTGATCAAAACTAACATGAAACTCGTGATTATCACCCCGTAACACCCTCACTGTACGACGTTCTAAAGAGGTCCCGATTTTCCCAACTTTTTGGGTCAATGATCTGACTTGGAAAGTCAAGTAATGACCCTGGACTTTGAAATTTGATATATTCGGCTTCCTCTCGTCTTAGGCAACACGCTTGATTTTTCGGCGAAGCTCTAGCTTGATCAGGGGCCAAACAGCTGGGCCAGGGGTCCAATTGACCCCCCTATACTATGTTGATCATGTGCATTAACCTGCGCCCCGTTGGGCTCTGCCGAGCAACGCGCCCTGTTGGGGGGGGCATTTTGCCCCCCCCCCCCAAGATCTCGAGAACCACGCAACCTAGCGACAAGCGGCAAACGGTGTTGGATAGCCCTATCAGGGAACTACCTTGTGACCCAATTTTATTGACCTAGGTCAAACCGATGACGCCACAGGTCAGGTCAAAGTTCCAATTTTCATCGTTTACAGGCATTTCAAGAAATGCGTTGTAAAATCGGGTAAAATGCATTTCATTGAAATCATCGATGGGGAAATGTTCTTCAAACACATATTTTGCTATTTGAGGTCACTGATACCAGGTCAGGTCACAGAGGTCAGGTCACGGGGGTGGGGCACAATATGAAAGTGTCGTGTGATACATGTTTTATGGTCCATTTTACATGACAAATGCGATTATGTGGGTCATGCAGCCTTTGGGGCCAGCTTAGGTCACGTTTTGGTCAAGGTCAGGTCAAGCTCAGGTCAAGGTCAGGTCAAGGTCAAGGTCAGGTCAAATTAGGCCAAATTTCAAAGTTGATATTTTTGCATAAACTGGATATCGAATCGATGCAACTCGTCACGGGGAGTTCAATGGTGGTCTTTGTTTTGCCGTACGTGGTCTAGAATCGCTAAAAATTGAATTAAAAAATTTGACGTCATCATTTTTGAACAGTTTTTTCGCTATAACTTGGCCAAAAAAACGAGATATCGATTTTAATTTGGTATGTATATAGAAGAGCGCAGGGACTATCAGATATATATTCCGTTTTTTCGAAATTCGGAAAATATTTTGGATTTTTTTAGTTTTTCTAAAAAAATCAATTTTTTGATTTTTTTTTTGGGGTCAAAGTCCCAAAATTTTGAAAATCCGAGATAGCAGTTTTGTAGCGCCGCTTTTTGTTTACTAGACCGTATAAAGAACTTTGAAATTGCTTGGTAACTGTAGACTTGGTGAGCGTTTCAAGATTGCATGTTTTTTGCTCATTTTTGCTCGAACATGACCTCAGTTTGACCTCAATAACTCCTGACCTAAGGTGACCTAAGACTTGAAATTTGGTGTGAGAGTGTCAAATTGATGCCCGGGAAGGTACTGAAAATTTGGCGGCGCTGCGCGCGCCGTTTTCTTGCTATTCAGGAAAAACCACAGGGGGGCCAAAATGGCTCCCCCCAACGGGGCGAGGGATTACATCCTGCAACTGTCAAAGGACTCCGTCATCTACTGTAGCTCTGACACGGTGACAAAGTTGAAAAAGTGATTTGAGGTCAAGTTTATTCGAAGTGACCTGGTGACTTGACCTTGAAAGGTAGGAGATTCAAATTTGCACACAATGTGTAAAATTGATGCGGGAATAGTCATGCAAAATTTCGCGATGCTACGCGCCGCGGTTTTTTTCGTTATTTACGAAAATTTTCAGGGGGCGGATGAACAAAAGCCCTCCGGTCAGTGCGCGGGTTAACTACCATTCGCAATTGTGAGCTTGAGGTCCAATCAGGTAGTTACCTAACTATTTACAGCAAATGCCCACGTTTAAAGTGGAAGTGTGCGACGCACAAGTTTTTTTTATAATCTAAGAAAATATTATTTAGGAGAAAATATAAATTTTAAAGCTAGCAGGGGTACCTACGTAACAATGTAACATAAAACTTACCAGATGTCCCGAAGTTTTTATTCCGATAGACTGATCTTGCCATGCCGACCAACAGGGGCGCACCCAGGATTTTCCAGGGGAGGGGGCCCGGGCTCAAAGGGGCCTCCGTATTCCGCTTGCCAGGGGGCCTTTTCTCTATCGAGGGGGCCTCCAAATGGCCTACTTTTTGACGGCCTCTGTATGTTTGGTGATGTTCTTAGCGTTATTAGTAAAGGCCTCTGTCCCCCCCTCGCCCTGGCAGGGGGGGGGGGGTCGATGCCGTCGATGCGACCCCCTAAGGTTTTTCAAAGAGCGCCGCTGAATTTGGCAAAGCGGCGGCCAACGCACAACAGTAGGTAGTAGGTACCGTACCACCATATCGGCAACATGATTCCAAATGTCTTTGAGCCTCTACGAATAATCGGCATAAGAACTAAATAATGTTTTTTTTGCATTCTCTGAAAAAAGAGTCGGTATTCCGCGGATTCACTGAAAAAGAATCGCTATTCCGCGGATTACCTAGGAAGTTCGCAGATCCCCGCGACTCTTCAGCGACTTCACGGACGCACTGGAAACTCTAGTGAATCCGCGGAGCCACGGCAGTGATTCCGCGGATTCACGAGAGTTTATGTGAGTTCGCGGAGTCCCTAGGGATTTCGCGGATTAACTAGTAACTTCGCAAACTCACGGATTTCGCGGACGCACTGTAACACATATACGGCCTTGCTGAAAGGTCGACCTCACCTACCCGACCGAGCCGGTAGCCGGTAGCTCGGCCTGTGTCCCTGCTGACTCGACCGCCTGCTCCTGTGTGGCAGTAGCCGGATTCATACGGTGACCGTGGCCCAAAACAGCACCCAAAACATGACTGTGTCGCGCAACGGCGGGTTTGTCGCGCTGTGAGTCAGCCTGTTTGTTGGGAGCGGAGCGCAGTCTTGCCGATGCAAATCCGATGGGGTGGCTGAATGAAAATCATTATTATATGGGAAGGATAAAGGGAACGGGAAACCGATGATAGTGGCTAACTGAAAACGCACTGCTGCCAATTTTAATTTTGACAATTGCTTCCTGCTGCGTGCTGATAAAATGCGGTAACTACTAACCTAGCTTATCAGTTCAGATAGATACTCGTACAATGTCCTTTGTTTTAACATTTACGCACAGTAGCTACCTTATCCTTTCAGATTGATGCATTGTCGGGCCCTTTGTTTAAAAACTATGAGACGCAATCAGTTATTACGGAGCGAGCGAAGCGAGCGTAGTCTTTCCTTAGATTAACGGAAATTTCTGAGTATGAGCGGCCGGCCGGCCGTGGTCACGCTTTTGCGAGGCTTATATCTCAGCAACCACTTGACCGATTTACATGCGGTAAATTTTGTAGGGTAGCTTCATTCCTTCTACCAAGTATTGGACTATTCCCGATGCATGTGGGTGACCCCTTATGCACGTGCCACGTGCTAAACGAAGAGGTGTCAGTTTTGTAATTGTTGCAATATCTCGGTAACTACTTGGCCGATTGCGCTGAAAGTTGGCATGTAGGTAGGCACCCACTAGGCACTGCATTCCATGTGCCAGAGTTGGGGTGCTGCTGCACGTGCGCACGTGCAGGGGTCGTTTCCAGATCTCGAGAACGGCTCGACCGATTGCGCTCAAATTTGGTACACAGTTAGGGACCGGTTAGTAGGGTGCCGTGCACAAGTCAGTTGGGACCCATTTTGCACGTGCGCACGTGCAGGGTGCCGCTTCCAGATCTCGAGAACGGCTGGGGCGATTGTGCCCAAATTTGGCACATCGCTAGAGACCGGTTAGTAGGGTGCCGTGCACAAGTCAGTTGGAGGTACCCCCTCGCAATTTCGCACGTGCAAGGCCCACCCTCTCGCTCGCTCCGTTAGTCGCCCCAAAAGGCGTTATACTGGTATAAGTTTCTGAATCATATTGCACGGTGGATTTCGTGACATATGTTATATATGAATGCGGAGCCGGACACATTAGGTTTCATTTTCCGCACGCGAGCCCGAAGCCAACTGCGAGGTCGCGTGTCGGCTCGGGCAAGTGTCTTTTTGTCTCACGAAGTGATTTGTGGCTTGTAGCTGTCGATTGGCTCTCATTGTTTTGTTCAATCACTGTTGTGCCTCACGACCTTCGCATCAGTAATTGCGTTTCCTGGAGAAGAGTTGTCGTAATTCGATACCTCATGTCTGTAGTAGAGGCTACTATCGCACCGTCTCGCAAAGCGCGCTTAATAATGCCTGAAACGACTACTTGCTAGCCCTCTCATTTTGTACTCACATGGCCACATGTATGTAGGTGCTAATCCCTCTGACTCAACATATACAGTATACAGTATGGCACTGTATCTGACGGCTGACTTTTTGCCCCCAGTACCTGACGACGCGGTACAACACGGACCCGTACGTCAGCTGGCTGCTGGACAACACGCGCGTGCACATCATGCCCTCTATGAACCCGGACGGATTCGAAGTGAGCCGAGAAGGCTCCTGCCAGGGCGGCCAGGGCAGGTGAGTGAGGACAGTTGGGAGGTCACAGGAGGGGTGAGGTTAGGTCAGGGGTGGGCGACTGTGAGGTCAAGCTGGGTCAGGGGTGGCGAGTGTGAGGTCAAGTCAGGTCAGGTCGGGGCATGATACCAGAGCTGGTCGGGGGTGGTGGCGGCGTTGGCTGGGAGGGACGGACGTTCCCACAGTAATTGCTGTGTGGTATAAGATAGGAGAGGGATAACGCGGATGGAATAAAGCTAGCTTTTTACGGGTTGATGTGTGATGTGCATGACCGTAATTGGATAAGTTTCATGCTATGGTTCGTGGCTTTTGCAAAGAAGATTTGGACTTATACATATAGCTTACTCAGCGTTGTACTTATTCTGCATGCTCTGTTTTGGTAGTCGAGTTTCGGCCGCACTGCTGCCGTGCTTTTTGGTGTGTTTTTTTTTATGTGATTATCACGGGACCTACGCTGAGCGCTCTGCTCTGATTGTGACGGACACGCTTTGCGCCATATCCGTTCACGGAAAGCCGTCAAAATCCTGTCCCATTTTAATCGCAGTGGTGCAACTCACAGTTGCGGGCTGTGCTATTTGCTCTTTTCACCGTAAATTACCGTCCAGCATAGGCCGTTAAACTTTTACGGCTGTTGGATTTAAATCGTAAGAACGAGAGCTGGCTAACGCCTGTTGGTTTCCACATCAGTCAGTTTAGTTTGTTTTTGATTTGATGATATGTTGTGGAAACAACTGCGAGTTGAATTCATCATCACAATCAGTATTTGAACGATTAAAGACATTCTGGAGCAAGGCGATTTCTCAACAGAACATTCTCATAGTTGCTTTGAGGAACGCTTGGATTGCGTTCGCTTTATTCTTTGCATCAAACATCGCTAATGTTTCACACTTCATTTCTGGGTCTCTTCTAAACCATCAACCATCCTGTCGGTCCCGTCTGCATCCTGTCTGCCGTCGTCGCCCACCCGTTCGCCTCCGTCTCGCCTCCGCGGCCGTTCCGCTCCGTCGGTCCCTGTCGTCACGACTCCTCACGGCTCGGTGTTCGGTACCGTTGGACGCGTACCGCGCGCCTCCGCGACCGTTCAACACGCACCCTATCCTCACTGACGAACGTTACACTGGGTTCTCGACTCCCGACGCTTGATTTTTTAGTTAACAGTCTCAGAGTCCCAGTGCCGATCCAATTTCATACTCCCCAATCCCCAAGTCCCAGATTTCGAAGTTCCCCAGCCCCGAGTTCCGACCTCCGGTTACCGCCTCGCGATTGGTCGATCTGCCGTCAGTAGCCCACCGTTATTTTATCTCCGGGTCTCAGCGGGACTGGGTGGGATGCTGAGACCGGCCAAGCGTGTCCGGTGACCGAACCCGGACCGAACGAACGGTGGTCGGCCGGCACTAACCGATAGAACGATTGGATCGGATCGGGTTGGGCTGGTTCAAGTAGGCGGGGAGTGCGGGGATAGCTGGATGCGGGCTCACAGAGATGGTTCAACTCTTCCCTGTTACTAGCTCGGAGAGGATGAGGGTGAACCTGAGAGAAAGCGGGAATCGACTGGTGCAGGAGGAGTCATTACTCATTTCCTAAGGCTAGAGATGACAAGAGGCTTCGGGCTGTGGATATATGTATGTATTATGTCATGTATATTGGAGCCTTGAACACGAGTTGCATTAAACCACGTGGCGAAGGGACCGGTGCTGATCATTTGCCGCTGTTCTGTTGCCAGTGGCCCGCGGGTAGGGTGGGACCCGGGACCGGCAGGGCGGGTCCGGCTAGCGGGCAGGGGGAGGGGGAGGGGCGATGATCTCGCACATCCAGCCGTCACTCAGTTGCCAATTATCTCCTGAGCCACACCCTGCGATGACGCACAGTTGAGCTCGACTCAGCCCCGATATACCAAACGGGAATCACTCGCTGCCCGTAGAGCTTCTGTTCTAACGGGACTCTGAGATGTAGAATTTAGAAAGGTGTGGCGTCTGACGCATCCCGTACGAAGCAGGTATTGTAGACACCATCTTTGTTTTGATTGAATTTAGATACAGTCAGCCTTTGATCAATGTTTGTTGTATTATCAATAATCGGAATGCGGCATTGCAAGACTCGCCCTTAGCAAACATAGTACCGTTACGACCGTTCAGACGGGCGTGGCTCGAAACAGCGGTCCCTATACCCTGAGTGACTTTAGCTCGCCCAAGGCCAACCCGTTGTCCGCTAATGAGCAAGCGAGAGCGGTTCAGTCAACATTTGTTAGTATTTTATTACGTCGCAGTTGGAACAGGAATGATAGAGATATCCAGGCGCGGCCTGAAGACGGATCGTAGAGGCGGGTCCGGTAGGCCTTAATCACGATTGCTATTGAGAAATGAACTGTGTGTAACGATTGAGGTACTGCAGATATTACCTAACAGTGGATTGGTTTTTCACGTCGTTTCATTGCTCATATAAAGTGGCTCACTGACCTATAACAGACGGTCTGACTTTCATCCTGCAAATATTTTATCTGCTGCCTGCAGATATTTCCCCATGCCATCCAGAATCCAACAGTGATTTCCCGTGATCCGTCCCTTCTTACCTGGAAGGCATGAGTCGACAAATTCTCACAGTTGCAGGAGAATTCCCGCGATGAATGACTCTCTGAATTACACGATCGAGCTGTGGTGTATTTATTGCCCATTGTCTCGTCGTTATTTATAACTTATATTACTGCTCATGACGTTAAGGATAATCGTTTATGGTCACGAAAAACGGTGGGCTTTTGCCATAAACGAGTCCGATTCTAGCGCTGGACGTGATGGTACTGTAATTACCTTACCATGACGCAACGATCAGAAGACTGAGAAGTCTTTTGTTTCGTCTGTTTAATTGCCACCGGTCACAAATTTCCCTTTTCACTTCGTCGCTCACATCATTCCCTCTTACTCTCCAGGTTCAACTCGAACGGCTTCGACCTGAACCGTAACTTCCCGGACTACTTCAAGACCAACAACAAGAAGAGCCAGGTGGAGACGGAGGCGATCAAGGAGTGGCTGAACAAGATCCAGTTCGTGCTGTCTGCCCAGCTGCACGGAGGCGCCCTGGTGGCCAGCTATCCGTTCGACAACACGCCCAATGCCGGTGAGAGGAGAGATAATGCCAGCGGAGCACTGGCTGGGTGGTTTTCCCGGCACAGTTCGGTGGGAACTTCTGAGACGTATGTTCATTACACACGCTTTATGTGCTTTATCAACTTGATGTTGACTTTATTCTATCTTTCTTCTGTGCTGATCGCTTACCCGGGTCCTGGCATCTGAACAAGGCTTGACAGGGTGACGATTTGTGACGATCACATAGCTGACGACTGACGTGACACGCGCCCTGGCCCCTGAGTGTTCGGTCATCGGTGATTTAACGAAACATACTTAGGTGACGGTCAAATTGTTTCTTTAAGGTGCATTTTAACGTTCTATACGTCATCATCCTTCAAACAATTCTATAATTGCTGAGTCTAAGTTCTACCGACTAACTCAACACAAGACGACACCCAGCCCCGACCGACTGACCTAGCGACTGTCTAAGCAACTACTGGTTCCCCGGACGTCCGACAGATGACGGTAACTCCGTGCGGGACAGCCCCGTGCCACAGCGCACCGGCCGCGCCTGGTATGACCCTGTGGTGCAGCCGGTGTGGAACGCGCTGGGCGAGCCGATCCGAGGTACGACCCGCCTCTTGCTCTGTTCCTATAAGGCCCTCCCTGGTGCAGATGAGGATATGGTGGCCATTTCCGACTGGACAACTTTCCTAGTCCCGATTTCTATGGATTTGCCTGCTTCTTATGGGACACTGTTATACCGTATTAGTCTTTTAATTAGTCTTCAATAGACGCCATCCTGGATAATTTGATCGCCTACGCATGGTGTCACCGGTCTGATGAAATGCATTTTATGCTGGGTAATTCGATGGCCTGGTAATTGGGGCATGTCAAGGCTATGGCTCTTCGATTCCCCCCAAAACTGCTGTTAGTGTGGTCATCAGTCGGCTGCCTTCAATGTTTTTATCCTCTGAATTGCTTACTGAAGTATTGAATAGCTCATCTATCAACCTTTTTCACTTTTTTCTTGTCTTCATCTTCCACTCAGACTATGGGTAATTGGCTCGCTGTCGATGCCCCATAATCGTTTGTAGACGGGCATGAAATTAGCGGGTGACAATGACTGTGGACCTAACGAACCCATGCTGGACTGCATTGATCCGTGTTTGACGCAATGCACTGGACTGATCTGGACTGAACTGGCATATTGCGGTATCCCGTAGCCATGGTGATGGTTATGGACAATGGAACGCCCGCCGAACCGCAAACTTCGATATTGACGACCGATTCGTGTTACCACGGTGACGTGTTACGTGTTTGCTTTGCGTGAACTTGATACGGACATTTGCTGCATTCTTGTATTATCTGAAATTATCTGAATTGTTGGCCATGTCCTAAGCTCTCGCTTATCACTTGTCTTCAGAAACCCCACCAGCTGTCTCTCTTCATATCCATCACGGTTCCCCTAGCCACGCCGTCACCACCCGCTCTGCCCCAACAACCCGTCCCGCAGTGATCCTCCAGTAAGTTCCGCACCACCGAGTCGCCCGTCCCTCTCTAACTCTCCCCCTCTTCCCATAAGTCACCCACTCCTCTCTAACTCTCTCTCCGCTCTCCCCCTCTATCTGCAGTGATCCGCCAGTTCCGTACCACGGAGTCGCGCTCGCCCGATGACGACACTCTCCGACATCTGGCCAAGGTGTACTCGTACAACCACGGCCAAATGTACAAGGGCGAGCCGTGCGCCAACAAGGGACTCGGCGCCGAACGCTTCCCTGACGGCATCACCAACGGAGCCAAGTGGTACCCGCTGACTGGAGGGATGGGTGACTACAACTACGTCTGGCACGGCTGCATGGAGCTGACTCTCGAGCTCTCCTGCTGCAAGTACCCCGAAGCGCGCCAGCTGAGGAGCTTCTGGAGGGATAACAGGAAGGTGGGTGCTGCTGTGTTCGGGGAAGAAAGGCGGGGCGGGACTGGAAGATCCTTGTGTGAGAAGGGCGAGGTGGTAGGAGCTGGGAGTCACTTGAGTTGTAGGATGCAATGGTGGAGCTGGCTTATAGTGCGATATCTGTTTGCTCTCGTGTGTTTCTCAACGTGCTAAATAATTTCTTTGGTATTTCCACTTAGAGCACAGTCGTTTTCCGCTGAAGTTAGCGTTGTATGTAATTGTGTACTCTGTGACGCTGCCTTACTCCTCTCATCACTACTCGTTTCCCCGCCCCTCCACTGGCCACTCCACTACGCGCCTTTATCTCACCCCGTATTCCTGCGCTCAGGCGCTGGTGAAGCTCCTGGGCGAGGCTCACCGCGGCGTGCGCGGCTACGTGGTCGACATCAACAACAACCCGATCGAGGGCGCCGGTCTGAAGGTCAAGGGCAGGAACATCGGCTTCCAGACCACCCAGCACGGAGAGTTCTGGCGCATCCTGCGGCCCGGAAACTATGTGATGGAGGTGAGATCTGGAGACGGACGGGACGGTTTAGGGGACGGTGTGGGACGGGTAAGGGGGCAGCAGGACCGAATCGGGGACGGGACAGAATCGTATTGACGGTAGGAGTTTACTGGGGACTCGCGAGATCGTGTTTAGGGTGGGATCGTACGGAACACGAGACAGCTGGAAATTCGGCCGACCCGTGCCTGAGCCTGACTATTACTAGATTCCTGAGCTCTCGAAGACTCACACATACCGACGAGGGTCAGCGATAGCGGCGTGCAGCTTGAGCTGTCGTCCTCTGACCTTCGCATCAGACGGCGCAGTCTGGGATAGCACACGAAAGGTCGTGCGGCTCGAAATAGCTCTGTGGCGTACTAAACTCGACCAATGATGTCCTCCATGTTAGGTACATGGGCCAAGTCGTGGCTGTGATCTAGGTATTGATATCATGGTCATTGGTCATAGCAATAGAATGCATGTGAATTATTAATGAAGTGATGTTCATAAAGTGTTTAGTAAAAAGGTCGCTGAATCAAGTTGTCCAGCAAAAATAGAATGTTTGGATTTGGTCTGGATGATATTCCCGCGTATCTCGCCTGAGTCATTTTGACATTGCAGTAATTACAATATGGCGTTAGCAGGCATGCAAGCTCATGCAAGGTTTGTCTGTTCCGTTCCCTGGCGCAGCGAATATTTTTTAGGATAGCAGCTGGATAGGTTGTGCGATTTGCTCGCTATTCTTATGGCGCCTGCTCGCCTGTCGTTTTGAACAAAACATCGTACGGAAACACTATACAGACGGTAACACTCGTCAATACGCGCCCCACCCTTATTCGTGACAGATGCGGGCCATAATGGAAGGTGAACGTCCTAGCGTTGTGTTATAATCCGTCGAAATATGTAGTCTAACAACACGATACGGTCATTAGTGACGCGCCCTGACGCTATAGCTGGCGTCCGGGTGTCGGGTCACGTGACTGGCGACACAGAGCGGTGTTAAGGCACTCCCTAACGCGTCAACTAATGCCTGGATGGGTGTCAGGTCACGTGACCGGCGACAGGTCGTTGCACGGGTCTTTCAATCCAGTATGTATCAATACTTGGATATTCAGGGGGATCATGTGTTCCTGACCATCATTTGATGTGGTGGATATACCTATGCAGTGGACAGAATTTCTGGTAAACGCAGGCGATTTTTATATCATGGTAGTGCTGCCGGCCAGTTGATTGTTGTTCGTTCACCCTCTAACATGCAGCCGGGCGGTAGAGAACATCCGCCTACCGGTGTGTCTTTTTTCAGTCATGCTCGCGTCACCTCACCACCCGCCCTGTCTCGTTCCTCCACAGGTGTTTGCCGAGGGCTACTACCCGCGTGAGCAGGCGTTCAGCGTCAGTGAGGAGCGCCCCACTGAGATTTCTATCCTGCTGGAGCGTGTGCCGGTGCGTATACTCGGGGAAACGGGCCGGTGGGGTGTATGATTGGAGGAGTTATGACGGTCGGGGTGGGTAGCTGTCTGTGTAATCGTGTGGCTGTCTGTGTGGCTGTCTGATGTACGATTATGTGACTGGTGTATGTGTACCGGATACAACAGTAATTAGTCTCGTCATGACTGTTGGACTAGCGGGAACTTCTCATACGAGTTTATGTCATTGATTGGTGCGTTTTTGTTTATTAGTATTGGTCACTTGCAAGTGTTTTCGGTTTGTGACTGTATGAATTTATTAACCAGCTATCGAGTGCATCTAGCGATTTCATAGGCATGTGAGAACTTTCGCACGTGGTGTAGTCTGGAAGGTGGATGATCGATGTGGATGAATAACTTAGGCCGCACTATGGCCTGCTTAGAAGTCACTTTACTTTCAATAATTTCATTTGGGCTTACCCGACGGTAAATTGCGGCGTTACGAAACCGTGTTTTTGTGTCTCTCCTCGAGTGAGTTCGGTCACGTTACTTCTTTTTGTTGTCAGTGATATATGTGCGTCCCTGTGTTTCCGTGATATCTGTCTGATCCTGTGCCGTGACTATGTTGTTCGAGAACGGTTGTGTCAGTATCTGTATAGGAGCCCGTGCACCAATCTTGACGGAACATGTCACACTTGGCGCTACTGTTGCCAAGTATTCGCCATACCAGCCTGAACGGGCCCGGTCTATCGTGTGTCTGTCTCGCACCGACCGTACTCCGTAGGGCGGCGTGCCCAAGTCATCAACATCATCCGTATTCACCCTGCACTACCTGCACGTGACACTGGGGAGGCCGTACGGGCCGCCCCGCCCGTCGGCCGCCGCCGCCGCCCCCGCCCCCGCCCCCGCCGTGGTGGTCACCCTCGGCGCGGTGTGGGCGGGCGGCGCCGGCCGGGCCTGGGTCCGTGTTTTGGTCTGAGCGGTGTGCCAGGGTAGGTGGGCCTTGGTGTGTTATTGTGAGGTGGTGTGTGTTTTGGCTGGGAGTGACCCTGCACGTAGCTGTTGACATGTCTGCTCGTACGCAGTAGAGTGTTGTGTTTGTGTACTCGTAGTCACTAGTGTCCTGCGTGACTAGCAGGACACGCCTTGTATGGCGTGGTCACTTGAAGTAGCATGGTGTGAAATTTGCTGTTTGATTAGGAACTTTGCCTGTTCAAGTGTGGTTTGTATTTAATTATAGAATGCCGCTGTTAAATAGCAATGCTGAACGTTGACTTGAGTGACTTTCGCATGACGTTCCGACCGTCTATGGAGCCTCTACGACTCTTACGACTCCTGCCTTGTGCTGCTGACTAGACTAATGCGACTTTTATAATTCATTGCATGACGATTTCGACCGGGTGACTAACTTTCTTCGTAATTGAGACTGTCACAATACTACGAAGCAATGCCGACTGATAAACATTGATAAACACTGAAAAACACCGGCTGCTAGTTTTTGCGACGACCCTGCCAGACACAGTAGTCCGACACGCCAAAGCTGCGACTTCCATTGAAAAGCGTAAAATCGTTGATTTTCACGCTAATGTAAGTGCCAAACAGGCGAGACTTAACTGTTGACTGGACGCACCACGGAACTTTGACACCGTTGACTTAACCATCTTCCGTTATCTGCCTCTGAGATGGGCAATTACATTTTCTTCCGATACTCAGGGGGGAGAGACCGCTGAGGATCGATCGAAGATCTTTTTCCCGAAATAAAGCACAAATGGTCGTCGGGATACGTGAGTGTTTAGCTCTTTCCAATCAAGATGCTTTTGGCCAGTGCTTCCATGCGCCTCTGCTTTGCTCCACTATTGTGCAGCTCTCTGCAAAGCTCACAGGCTGCGCATTTCGCCTTTTGTACTGCGTCATTCTGCATTTCTGCTCCATGTGGCTAGTGCTGCCTTATGCTTTTGCTCATGCATAATCAATCCGTGCTTTATTGCTGTTTGCCTATGGACATTTGTTTATCTATGTATTGCGTGCACCATCAGTGTTCTCAATGCTGGTCGATGCCTATACCTAAGCTTTTATAATTAGACATTTTGTGAATACAATATCCGGCACTGAAATCATATAACCATTGCCGCATATTACCGTTGACAGGTTGTTTCGCTTGCTCACAATTTTCGTAACAAGTCCCGTTCACTGGATTCGTTTCAATTCAGCAACCAGTCATAGAGCGGTTGCTGCACACTGATCTTATATGTGATGTCAGTCGGAGCTAACTATATCACGTGGGGCGAGGCGGACGCTGTTGAACCATTTCCCCAGCCCAAACGATGTATAATTTACAGTCACGCCAGCCCCGAGTATGTGAAGGTCGCACTGAGCGGCACTGTCCACAGGCCGTGGTTCACAGCACTGTCAGCACGCAGTTCGGCTTTGGAGCGGTGTCTTTTCTTGCTGCCATGTACACCTGTTGGGGGTGATGTAAGCGGCTAGAACATTATCGATCAGAAATTTAAAAAGCATGCAGATAATGTGTTCATTGTGCTAAAAATCGGCATGTATGGCAAAATTATATCACCAGTTACCAGCGTTAGATCCTGAAAGCGTTCTCAGAATCATTCGCATGCAGCATTGGCGCCCTGCTGCTTAGGCATGTTCATTAAAAACTGTCATTGACTGTTGTATCGATTTTGCCGCGCTGCATCTGTCCTCGGCACCTCCTGGGATGCATGAACCTCCGCTAAGTGCATTGCCTGGCTTTGGTGCTGTGCTGTGTATCATGCCCGGCGAATATCGAGCCCCTTTCGCCCCGTGTATGTCTAATGGCTTCCTCGGCCGGCTCCGCTGCCGTGTTGTACAGGGACCCGCAGTTGCTACTGTACACATATATTACCAATTTAGAATTGCGCTATTATTTGCTAAGTGCTGGCCATTGGAGAAAGGAAATGTAGTGCAAAGTATGGAGGAATAACACATGTTTGCTCCTAGGACGTATGTTTTGTATAATTCCTCTTACCGCAACAGATATTCTTCCAAAACTACAATCGTGCTATTTTTCCGCGCCGGTTGCCTCCCCAGAGCCTGTCCTTGGTATCGCCTATAGCTTCCGTTCCCGCTACGTGAATGAAAGTCACGTGACTACTACAGGTTTGCGCTCAGTACTAACACACCTAGCCCGAGGGCCGGTCCGCAGCGGGGAGGGGTAGAACGCCAGAGCTCCAGCGCAGTGGAGGTGGTGGTGGCCCGTATCATAAAGAGGCAACCGTAAGCAGAACTACAATTGCCGTAGTATAAGATTATGATCAAGTTTTCTTTAGATGTATTGATTGACAAGAAATTGCAATGCTTATCCGATATAATAAAACGGTGTCCAAGGCCTTGGAGGAACTATAAAACATATTCAGCAACGTATAAATTTCTGATACAGGCCATGACCTTTCACCTTGCCTCCGGGGAGGACCGCTCAGGAAGCCACATACCGAACGAATCGAGGCCTCGCAGCGCGGCGGCAGAGGAGGTGGATAAACCATCGCCAGATCTTTCGGTTACTTATGTTTCCAGAAGAAGGAGGGGGGGGTGGAGGGTGAGGGCTGTTTTCAACCCACTCACCAATCCTTTCCTTATTAACTTATAGCTTACCGAAAAATGCAACACAATGGTGGCCGTCACGAGATGCAGCGAAGAGTGCCTCAGCCACACCGGTTTTGAGTAAACTTTAGGCATTGGAATTCAGGCCAGTGATCCTGAAGCATTATTTTATTTTTGTCGTGCATAAGCTGGGATGACGTGGTTCAAGTTAATTGCGAAGAAACGGTTTTAGTTTCAGAACATTTATGAGGCTAGTCGCTCCAAATAGTAGGTATACGTTTGTTGCAAAATGTCAAATAGAATGTTGACGTGCTATCCAGATGATGGAATTTATTTGACACAAGAAGTCAAAAAGTGGCATCGTTAGTCATCCTGCATACCTATAAATCGATTCGTCATCTTTGTTCGAGCTCAATAGTTCTTTTCGCGGATGATCGGTTTCGTTTTCTTTCTTTTTTTTGGGGGGGGGGGGGGACAGATTATGAGCCAGTAACCACCCTCCCCAGTCCCCCAAACAACAATTGTTGACAAATACTGTGATGGCCTAAAAAATGCCCTCAATTGTGTTGCGTAGGGGAGAATGAGGTAAGTTCAGCCGCTTTTTGTTTTTCGTAAGCTACAGGCTAACTTACTGATCATTTTTCTGCGTTTACGGGTTGGACGGACAGAGTGGTGATTTGCACATGTAATGGTGGCCAGAAATGTTTCATACCGCTTATTTTTGTACTGAAAATGCTACGTCAAAAATCATCTTGCACGTTGCTCATCTTACCCCATGGGCGGGGTAAGCTGAGACACGTCGTGGGGAAAGTTGAGCATGGATAGAAAAAGCGAACCTTTTCTTTTCCCGGGCGCGGCGAAGAGTGGGCTCTTTTATTTACTCCATGGCATAGATACTTATGGCAAAGTTTTTTTCCTCCATCAAAAAGTGACTGTTTTAAGCCTTCCAATAGCTTGTCAATTTTCTATCACGGAAGAAATCATTTTATCCTTCAGGTAATCTGCAAATCACTTACAACTTGTGTAATCAACAAAGAAAAACAATTTGCTACCATTTTTATTCAGCAGAAACAAGCGCAGCTCAGTTTGGTTTTCGACAGCGGAGACAACAATGGCTTATCCGGCTCATCTTCCCCCAGGTGAAAATGGCTCATCTTGCCCCACCCGTGGTCATTTTCGATTAATGACACCCGCTAAGGAAAATAACCATGCACCGCAGATAACAACCATCTCATTTTAAAGGCAAAACATGTCTTAGTTATCAGGGGCGATACCACATGTTACCGGGTGCTGAGCGTGAGAACGTTGCCGTCTCACGTGAAAGACTGCAGCATCGTAAGCGAACGGCACATGGAAGCTTAAGTCAATTAGCGCCATAGGAGCTGAGAAACATGGGGTGGCTAAACTTGCCCCTTGGCTCATCTTACCTCACTCTCCCCTATTTGGGGCTCTCAACTTTGATTTGTTAAAGTTGTTTGTCTGTTCATTATAAAAGCTGTCAAATTTGCCGTATCATTAAACTTTTATTGAGTTTGTATTTCACACTTATCTAAAATGAACAATTTTGTCACTGGCTTCGTTTATGAATGGAATTGGATGGTCGCATGAATGAACGAATGAATAGCTCCATTTGAGCATCAGCTGAAATCAATCCTAAAATTTAATCTACCAGTCTGCAACGAAAAGGTTTAAAAACCAGTGCAAGTTAGGTGCAGTTTCTAATCTATGCCGTTTTTTATTAAGTGTCTCATAGCTCCTTAATCTTGAGCCGCTTCTCTTAGATTCATTTTATGTGGTGCTTACATTGTTCAAGAAGTAGTATTCGAGCTCGTTGGTCTTTAAAAACTGCTATCGAAGTAAATTTAAGTGTTTCGGGCTTCGGCACTTAAAAACCAATCGATATTTAACCCTCACCCACTTAGGCATTTTTTTCAGCGTCTTATATGTAGCGGAGGGCGTAGAAACCCTCAGCCATTCATGAATAGCCAGAGCTTCGCTGAAAAATAAAAAAAAGAGCGAGCTGCTCGTGACGAGAGAAATCCGATGATTTGAGGGCCCTGGTCATCGCTGACGAGAGAAAGCCAATTATTTTTATGTCCTGGTCAATGCTGAGATCCTAGGTCACTGGTTGAACTCCCAGATCAGGTTAATAACCCAAAAGCACGGAAAATTGGGTCCTGCTAGAATTTCTACAAGTGAAGTTTGCTGGGTCTTGGCTTGCTTCTGAATCCGAATTTGCACTTGCTTTGATCAAAGATGATGTATCAAAGCATTTGGGGTAGGACGGGTCACGCCAGATCACCCATTAGGCGTTCTGCCGGCTATCCATAGAATGTTAACCAGCACTTACAGCCTTGCAACATATTGCATAGGCACTATAACTGATACCTAAGTATGCATAGTTTTCAAATGCTAAAATGAGTGCTAAATTTCAAACCAACACTTCCTAAAAACCACAGTAAAAAGGTGTAAATTTAAGGAAGTTAACCGAGATCATTTCAAGTAAATGACCTTAACCTGAGTTTCACGTGACCTTGGCACCCACAACAATCAATGAGACAAACATTACATAGTATATTTCACATGTTGTCACGTTGCTAATCACGAAACGACTATGGAAACACACAGATGTGCGCTGACTTTCAATTGCTATTCTGGCCTGACATGATCTTGAGAAAAATAATCACAGGTTAAAGGTAATTTGGTTCAGGGATTTAACATTCTCAGACAAGATGCAAAATGATGAGGGCTATTTAATTTTCCGGGAAGTTGTAAAATTGATTAACTCCAAGGCACCAAAGAATCGTCGCAATCCTTCGCTTTGCCGCGATTTATTGGTGAAAAACAGGGGGCGCGGTCTACTTACCTCTACTTATATGTGTGGTGAGGGCTAATATTCATTTTATCTGTGTTATTAATATGCAACAACTTCTACATGAACTGAGACCAGTCCATATGGGTATGTTTTTCTCACGGACAATGACAATATAAAAACAATGCGAATAAAACCAAACGTTTCGGACAACAACGTGCCTTCGTCAGTGGAGAAAAATAAGTGTATAGGTTTAACATCGATGAGAACTATATGCGGCACCGTCTCGGTCTGGCCAGCCGGGTTGCCGATAAAATACACAAATGCTTATAAGCTTCCATGATGTGCTTAAAAAACTGCTGAAAATATATCTTAAAAAATAAAGATAACTACTTCATCGATTTTATCGAAAGAAAACATGTATGCCTAATTACTTATTCCTTGCCACTGACGGAGGCACTTTTTTGTGCGAAACGTCTGTTTTATTCGTATTGTTATTGTATTGTCATTCCCTGTGAGAAAAAATGATAACTCTTCAGTTAGTAACAATAACAGCGAAACGGCTTAATGTAACACAATTCACTGTGTATACGAAACCTAAAAGTCCCTAAAAATAATCCTATTTACAACTTTTAAAAAGATACAGCTTATACAATATACAGTTTAGGCATATATTTTTTTCTGCATTAAGATAATATTCATTTATCTCCACAGAATATGGTAAATTACTGCTGCTGAAGTTCGCTTTCGAAGCGTCTCCTCCAGGCATTCCACAGCTCTCGTGCCATTTTGGATCACGGAACATGGCTGGGCGCAGGACAGGCCGTCTGCGAGCTTGGACGGACCACGTGACCACCTCCTCCCCTCCCCCTCGCTCCCGTCCCCCTCCCCAGCAGGGCGTCCGATCTAACCGCGCCCCAGGCAGTCGGCTCGGTCCGACCCTCCCCTGGTCGAGCCACGGCCCGGTGCCGCCTGAGTTTGTGCCGGGTGCAAAACTGGAGCAGTAACTAGCGCCGGAACTAGTAGTCAGCACGACCATCGTCAGATGGCAGGAGTAAATGGAATAAGCGGTTCCAGGTTTCAGAAGAAATGGGGCAGGAAAAAGCGCTGAAAGCAATGTTTTGCTGATACAGCCATAAAAGTTCACTGAATTAGGAGAGCAGCACATCAGTTTAAAGCCCTTCAGATGGTGGTTTTAATAAGCACACAATCATTTCCCAATTCGCCTCCAACGGTGTCACAGGCAAAGAATACGCTGAAATACTAGTGTGTACAGAAGCAACTGCGGGTCCCTGTACCGTCGGACTGTGCTGTTTCCGGGACATGTTGCGTCGTCAGTCTAGTCTCGGTCGATCCATCAAGTCTGTTTGAGGCTGTCGCTGATGGTTACTAGGCTACAGACGTACTCAAAAGCGCAAGCAAATGGCGGGGACCGTGAACTCACTTATCCCTGGTTAGGTCAGTGAGGCGCTATAAATTGGTGCGGACCGTTAATGTAAGACCAGATGCATTTGAGCCCAAGTTTGCTTATCATTATGCAAACGTAGATTTTTCTTCGTGCCCTCAGAGTGTATCTGCGCTGCTCTTAGCACTAATATATCGGAGCGGAAGGTCCTAAAGTATGTCAGTCTGGCGTTTAATTTTACTTGCTCCGATCCCATGTGAGCAGATGTGTGCTGTGTGAAATCCCTCGCCCGTGTCCACACATCTGACGTGTGCCCTTCCACAGGAGGTGAACCGACACGACTTCACTCCGCCGCCGCTGGCTCCGCCTCCTCCCACGGCCGCGCCCTCGGGGCTCAGCGGGCTGTGGACGCGCCTGACCGGCGGATTTCAGAGCCTGTTCGGCTAGAATCGTAACCACCTAGCTTGCTCTACCGCTGGCAAACGGATGAGCGTCGCAGTGTTGTGCGCTGCGTCGTGCAGAGTCGCGATCTGAGAAGCGCGGGCTCGCTTAGAACCTCGACTGAGCGTGTGTTACCCCGCGGCTTGTGACATCCTGGTGACTATTTGAGTTGTTCTCGACTGTCGTGTAGATCGCAAGGAGTCAGATATGTAGGCCGCTCCCGGTCCACCAGTGCTGGTTAGGCTGACATGATGCCTGTTGTTTGTATTGTGCGGTGTCGGGCCGGCCGGCCTGACGGCTGAGCCGGGCTGTTATTTTAGTGTTGACTGATACCGCTGATGTTGTTGGGACTGACCAGTGACCGGCGGTTCGCCCGGCTGTTGTATACCGGAGATTCTACATTGGGCAATGTGCTGAGGGACGAGTGTGCGCTGTTTATAGTTTGGGCTGAGTGTTAATAAGTGTATAGAGATGCAGTGGAGCATATCGTTCTCAACTGAACTAGTTTTGTTGTGCATCTCTCAGCTCTTCACTTTTTCATATTTGTTACTGATTCAACACGCCCAAAGATAATTCGAATTATTATGAAGACTCCACCTCATTCTATAGAGTCTATATATAGAATATCCAAGACAGTTAGGATAAATGATAACAATAACACGTCAAATGTATATTTAAACACACAAAGCTTTCGGTATGAAAATACCTTGATCACTGTGTTAACAGAAGAGTTTCTGTCCTCATTTCTGTTAACACAGTGATCAAGGTATTTTCATACCGAAAGCTTTGTGTGTTTAAATATACATTTGACGTGTTATTGTTATCATTTATCCTATAGAGTCTATGGTAAACACTGTCGCTCGTGCCTCTCTTGCCTCTTCATTTCATCTCAGTTTCTTGACTTACGCACTAAGCTGTTGAAATATGTGTAAATATGTATGTGGATGACCTGTTGCACTATTCAAACTGATCGTACAATACATATTATATTCAAAAAAGGGAGTTTAACATCATTTTCGCGAGTGGATCAGGAGAATTAAGTCCGTTTTTTTTTTTTGCCTGCGAGACCGCGTTGACACAGATCAGTAAGTGATATGGGTACGGCGTTTCCCCAGCTTTCCCAGGCCATTGTCAACGTGAGTACCCTGCGAATCACATGGTCACATTGCCAGGGACGTTACAAGATTTTTCCTAGATTAGATCTAGGTTTGAGGACACGAGCAATCGAACGGATATAAAGAGAGCAGCTGTCTCCGAAATCAGTCATTCGCACATGACCCATCCAGGTTCAAATAAGCGCCGTGCCTAACTCGAGTCAGCAGCCTTTGAGCCTCCTTTCTAAGCCTCATTTCGCCTCCAATCCACCGACCCGGCAGCTCTATCCGTCGCTCTGACCTCGGCCGTTCTCGGCCCGTTTCCCTGATGACCGTCCGTCTCGAGATTCCGACAGTGTCCGCTCTAAGTGGCCGCAGTGGCAGACGGCGGCCAACCGGCCACGTCATCGACCTGTCGCTTAGCAACGCCGCCAAACACACCGGGCCGCCGCCGGCGGCAGGTAGTGGGCTGGGAACACGTGAGGTCGGGGCAGCGCCTGGGGCGTCGGCCGCCGACTGCCCGAGGCGACAGACCAGCTGAGTGGTGTGACAGCGACGGCGCGGGTGACGCTGGTTGTGTGGATAGCTTGGGAGTGGCGGTGCTCGGATTTTGAGAATCTGGTGCCTGATTGGTGCGCATTCAATCAATTTAAGCGCTGAGAGATATACGAGGTGTATGAGGTTTACGGGAAGACCTGGCGAGTTAGAAAGAGTTGAAGCATAATAAGGCTAGCGTGTGAACACTTTCGTGCAGCACAGTTCGGTGTGAAAGGTGCAGCAGAGATACACCCGGCGCGGGGGCAGTGGATGCGTCCAAGCTGCTGTGCTTTCCACCGGGTCAAAATAGCGCAGAGGTTCGGGGTGTCAGAACATCCACTCAGGTTCTCCTCTCGCATTGCCAGGTGAGTTCAGCTCCGTCGCTGAGGGTTCAGAAGCTGTATGTACAGGGTGCGCAAAAAGTTCTGGCCCATTTCTGTACTTCGATAAACGAATGCAATCGGAGTGAATATTATCAACGCTAACACCAAATAATGGTTTGCATTATCAAACCAGATACGTTCACTCGCCTCAGGCACAATATTACCCCCTTAATCGGCAATGACCTTCTCCACACGGAGGCGGAAAGACTTGCATGTCTTGATGATGTAGGTGGGGTCCTTCGTCTCCTACATCTTCACGATGTGTGGCTTCAGGGCCTCCAAATTGGGATGGGACACTCCCTGGACCTCATCCTACAAAACGCTTTAGATGCTTTAGTCAAGGGGTTCAGGTCGGGTGACTGAGGGGGCAATAGATAGGTCATTAAGCCAGCAATGGGCTTCTCCCCCGAGCTCCTCAGTTTGCTTGTGCTGGATGGAACTTGCGTTGTTTGCGGGTGTTAGTGTCCCGCTGGAAAACGAAATCGACTTTTGGATACGTCTTCAGGATCAATGGGATGACGTCACTGTCAAGCAGACGCTCATACATCGTCCCGTTTATCTTCCAATTGGCGTTAATGAAGACGGTTGGGCACTTTTTGCCGCCCGAGCCGTGGGCCGTCCTGGATGGCCTAAGACACGGCAGTCACATTCTCAGAGTTTTGACTGGACGTGACCGGTCTGACCTGGGTGCATCCTACAGGACCTCCCCTATTCGTATTTGGCTTTGATACGCGTAATTGTTAGCAGGGGGCTCCAAATTTCATCGCAACCTGCTCAACAGTCATGCCCGATTCGGCCGCGCCGCGCGCGGGTATCCAACGACAATGTGACGTTTAGCACGGACATTGCCTCCATGACTGGCCGTTAATGGTCTGCTTTGTTCGACATCTGGCTGTGTAGCAGGATCATTGAAGATATTGCGTGCGGCTATTGGCTTCCCGAAAAGCAACCGCAGCACGCGTAGGGGCGCTTACTGTAAGAGGGCCAGAACTTTTTACGCACCCTGTACGTTAACCTGCTCGGTAAACTTTATAGGTATGACAGGCGACATCTGTTGTGAATAGTTGTGAAGCTTATCCGTGCCTCGACACAGTAGCGGCGGAACACCTTCAATTAAGGGGGGGGGGGGGCACTGCCGACTTTTGAGGTCATTCTTTCCATGCAACGCCCATAGGGCTAATGTTAAAATGCCAAAATCAAAGGGGGGCACGGTGCCCCGGTGTCCTCCCCGTTCCGCCGCCTATGCGGCTCGACATATATCTACGATGCCATTTAATTTAATTCGCGATGGCTGTCGTGGACTAAAAGGAAAAGTTATCGTTAAAGCTATCGCTATCGCCGAATCGTTTGTTAGTTATCTATGCCGTTTAGTTTGATTGATGGAAATACAAAATGAAGCTGGCCCTAACAGATGTCATAAATCCCACTTATCCATTGGAAAGAACTGCGTAAAAATGAACGCATTAATTGCACAAAGACGAAGTGTAACTTTCGGCAGAAATGCATTGGGCTTTAAACAGAACTGGCCATAAGATAGCTCCTTGGCCGTGTAGGGACATGAGTGTGTCAAATATGTGCGATGTTTGCTTTATGCCTACAGCGCTAAACGGAGCTGTGTGTGACTATGTTATGGGTAGAAGTAATGCTTACTTTGCGCTGATTTCGCGGTCTCTCATAGCAACGCACAGCAGCACAGCGGTTTTCCATATACTCAGAACTGTCGCCGCATCGATTTCTGTGTCTCCGACAGCTCGCTCCTGACGGGACTCGGGTCAGGACCCTGTCATGACGGAGTGACAGCGGGTCTGCCCGGCGGCCGATGGTTCGGCTCTGCGGGACGGAGGGCCGCGGCCGGCGGCCGGTGGCGGAGAGGCGACAATATGGACCCTGAGCTGACGCCATACACGGTCAGTATCGCGGGCAGTAGATAGGAAAACTACTCATAATTATACATTGTCCTTAAAATGTACATTATCCGCTATATAGCCCACGATGCACAATGCACATGTCATGTAGGAGAAGTTGTCAATTGGCGGCAACATAGGTATCGTTAGTACGTATATACAAAGTGGATACGTTAAGTTTATTGCGATGTTTTATGATAGCGCTAAATAAAAGACGGCAATTAGATAACGATGTGTTCGTACGGTTTCAGTTCGAATCGGTAAGATAACGTCGGGTGCTTGTCGCCATAGTGCCATCCGATGGTCATATTTGTACTTAAATAAAATGTACCCCAGGCACTGCGGTAAAGAATAATTATAACTGCTCAGTGCTCACAGCTTCAACTGCTGCTCACTTCGTCTATTTTGAAGGGTAGCGTAATGCACCATCTGTCGACGTTTCAGAGCAGAATGAGACTCGTCAATTCACCTATCCGTTGAAAAACATACTGATCGAGGGTTGACTGTTGTTTGTTTTACCACTGTTGTGAGCTCACAAGGCCTCTGTTGTCTCACGGGAAATGATAGCGGGGCATCGCAATACGTTACTAATGAGAATATAAAGCACACGGTCAACTCATAGGAGTCATGCCTAATTATTCCGATGAGGTTGGTGCGGTGTAGCACCGGAGTGATTGAGCCACGTTGACCCATGCTCTCTCGCTTTAGGTTTTTTCCTTTTTCCAGAACCTTTCACTCAGAACGTCATTAGGTATACATGAGTTTGTAATAAAAAAGACGATGCAACGGCGCTAGGCCATAAAGGCGTACCTAATGCATCGCCATTTAACTCATGCATTTTTCATGCAAATCTAAAATGAGTTGAATTACTGAGCTAGGTAGGTACTTAGTTATGCAGCACACCCAGTCCCTGGGTACAAAACTGCACACCGAAATAATTTTGGCCTTGACCTTGTCCTTGCATGTCCGGCTCATTTTGTCGTTTCGCTACAAGAGCCTTGGTTTAGGTACTGAACGATGTCACGTCAAACGGGCGAGCGGTGAACCTTCATAACACTTGGGAATAGTGGACCGTTAAAACACGGGAAACATCGAGCCATCATAACACGGGAAACAGCGAACCGGTATAACACGGAGGACAGCGTGCCGCAGCACGGTGAATGGCGAACGGACCGTCGCTGTGAGCCGCGACGCGGGTGAACAGCGGCCCTCCGCACAAGTGAATATTGAGCTGTTGCGCAAAAAAAAATTAATAAACAAAACCGGCAGCCAGCCTTCCCGCCCAGGTCGTGTGCACTCAGTGCCTACCTACCCCGGGCGTCTGTAGTGACGCCTCTGGTGATCGATGCTTGACCGTGTGTGTGTGTGTGGGGGGGGGGGGGGTATGTGTGCACTGGGAACAGGGTGTAGTCTCAGAAGCGGTGCACAGCTCGAATGTTATTGAGGGGAGTATGACGATAAAAACCAAGTGCAGCAGCCTACTCATTCAATTCACCTACGGACTTTTACGGACTCACCTACGGACACTGAGTTACTTTCACTGCTCACTGCACTGATAAAGAAAGTCCTTTTCTCGAAATGAGTCACAGTTTTTTGTTGTCCTGTTTTTTGTTGTCCTAAGATGGTGCTCAAAGCAAGAGACTCATTGCGTTTCCGGTTCCCCGTATCCAGCAGGCAGCAGCACAAATCGTCAAACGATCTGCACCTGCAGGATGCTTTAATCCATTCTCACTAGATGGTACTAGTGCCAAACGCCTGGACTACTATGCTGTGCCGCAGAGCACGATTGACGTTTCCGATCACCTCCCTAGATGACGTTAGTTGTAAGCGCCTGAAGAGATACTGTGCCGCAAAGCATAGCAGCTGTTCCAGACTCACTCCATAGATGACGCTAGTTGTAAGCGCCTGAAGAGATACTGTGCCGCAAAGCATAGCAGCCGTTCCAGACTCACTCCATAGATGACGCTAGTTGTAAGCGCCTGAAGAGATACTGTGCCGCAAAGCATCGCAGCCGTTCCAGATTCACTCCATAGATGACGCTAGTTGTGAGCGCCTGAAGAGATACTGTGCCGTAAGCACAGCAGACGTTCCAGACTTTCTCCATAGATGACGCTAGTTGTAAGCGCCTGAAGAAATACTGTGCCGCGTAGCACCACAGACGTTGCAGATTCACTCAATAGATGGCGATGCCTGTAGGCGCCTGAAGGTATAGTGTGCCGCAAAGCACAGTCTATGTTCAAGCATGGTAATTATTGATCAGAAACGGCTAACATGTGGACAATGGTGTGTCGTAAAAAAGTGGCAAACGATATCATTTTTACAGGAGCCGCCGCGCGAGCCCCCGGTGGCGCCGCGCCATGTTCAAGTTTCACGCGGTGCACGGCTCGCACGTGGCGCTCGAAAACGATGACACGTGCGCCACACGCCGCGAGGGCTTCTGCAATGGAATCACGTTCAGGTCAGTGGATGGCGAGGAAAATGTTCCCTTAGAGAGAAATCGGAGGGATTTCCTGCCAGAGAACTCCTCTCCGTAAGTTCGCTGTTCTGTGGGACGATTAACCCTCGCCCATGTAGGGGGGGGGGGGTTGGTGCAACCCCCCCTGAGGTTTTTCTTAGCTACACGCCGAACCGTTTCAGATAGCCTGCTCAAATTTTCATTACCCTTTGGGGCATCCTTTGCGCAACTTTTGGTATTTTATTTTTGTCAAGGTCATGTCAGGTCACGGAGTTATGACGTCATAAAGGGAACAACCTCCGGCCAGATTTACGCTAAATTGGAGATTGCTCCACATTGGTATAAATGCCGACTGACCTGACACACTGATGGATTGTTTTAGAATCACAACTGGCTGATTTGACATTGGTACAATGTCCGTTGACATTTTGAAGGTTACTAAGGTCAAGGTAAGGTCAGTGACCTCGGTTGACCTGTAATGACTTCTTGCACTTGTATGCCTTTTCGGGGTATTTTGATGCCCTGAATTCGAATTTGCTATCCATTTCAGGCATCGCCGGTTGTTTCTTGTAGTTCATTTTGGGTCAGGGTCAGGTCAGTGACGTCACACGCCTGACGTGACCCAATGCACAAATGACCTTGCAGACTTCCGATGCTCCCAACGCATCATTTTTAGAGGTATGACATCGAAATACACACCAAACGATAGAGAATTGATCAAGGATCACGATAGTGAAGGTTTCAAGTCGATATCTCTTAATGTTTTGCCGCAATCGGCGCGGAAATCTGAAAAAAGTTAGATTTTTCCGAAAATTTGACCTTTGACCGGTCATAAGTAGGTCAAATGTTTACCTAGGACCAAAAAATATACCACCAATCGCGAGATCTCGTTGAGAGCAATCCGTTGGTCTGTTCCGCTAAGCTCTACAACGCTCCGTTTTCAAACGCCAGGGGGAGGGGGGTCGCACCAACGCCCTGCATGGGCGAAGGTGGCAAAACACCGTTTACGGGCGAGGGTTAATCAACGTCCAATCCCAATCATAGACATCTGTATACCCGGTATACAGAGGTCCATGGTCCAATTGATCCCCATGAGCTTACCACTAACATTTTCAAGTAGGTGCTAACTATAACGACCTCGCCCTGTGGCAGCGGCTCTCCCTGCTCCCCCGCGACCGGCGTTACCGCGCGGGACCGCCGCCGACCCTGACAGGCCGCCGGCCGCCGACAGGGGCCCGTCCAGGCCTACCCGGCGAGGGGTGCGCAGCCGGCGGCGCGGCTCCAGGGGCGGGCGGATCTGGAGAGCTGGAGAGCGGCCAGATCAGCTGTACATCGCCCAGCTTAACGTGCAGTCGGTGAAACCAAAACTGCTCGAACTGCGTGACGACATCGCGCAGCACAATTTTGACCTCATTGTATTATGTGAGACGTGGCTTAAGCCGGCCACACCCGATCGACTTTTACCGGTTCCCGGCTACCAGCTGCTGCGGAGAGACCGAGCTGACGGCAGGGGCTACGGCGGTGTCGCCGTTCTGGTGAGGGAGGGGATGGTGGCCACCGTGCTGGACGGACCTGACCGAGTCACAGCGGACTCCAGGCTAGAGTCGCTGTGGGTCCAGATCGGCACGGGCCCGCAGAAGGTAGTAATCTGCTCCCTCTACCGGCCGCCGGTGCAGACACAGGTCCGTGTCACCGCGGACCTCGACATACTGGAGCAGCAGCTGCAGCACCACATCACTCGCCACAGCGGACCGATCGTCATAGCCGGCGATATTAATATCAACACCGCGGACGGCGGCAGCGCTACGGCTACCAGACTCCGAGAGCTGTTTACCGCCTACGCAGTGCACCAGCATATCGACGGTGCTACGTTCCGGTCATCAGGCTCCACCATCGATGTGATCGCAACGAATCGTGGTGTTGAGCGGGCCGGGACGCTGCACTGTCACTACAGTCCTCACAACTGGTGCCGTGCGGTGGTGCCGACCCCGGGCCGCCGACCGGAGCGGTGCACTCTGACAGGACGGAGCTGGCGCAAACTGGACACCGCCGAGGCGTGCCGCCGCCTGTGGGCCGTGGACTGGAGCCCTGTGTACCGCAGTGCTGACCCGGGCGAGCAGTGGGACTATTTTATCGCGGTGACTATGCCCATTATTGACAGTCTGGCCCCGGCCAGACGGTTCCGAGTGCGTAACCCGACGGCGCCCCCAGTGACGGAAGCCACAAAGGACCTAATGGCCCGGCGGCGGGCGGCGCTACGTGCCTCAGATCGTGCCTTGTATAAGGAACTGAACCGGCAGGTTAGGTCGGCCGTCCGCCGTGACACGCGAGAGGAGATCGACCGGCGCGTGCGGGAGAGCGGGCCGAGCTCCTTGTGGCGCAGTGTCCGGCCGGTCATCGCGGGGAAGCGGACGACCAAACCTTCACCGGACGCTGACACGGACGCAGTTAACCAGTACTTCGCCAGTATTGGGACCGCCACGGCCCGACAGGTGGACTCCGCGGGGCCCGAGCTGGCGGTGCGGCTGCCGCGCGTTTCCACCGGCCGTTTCCAGGTGGCACCCGTTACACCGGAACAACTGTCGTGTATCGTTGGTAGGATGGCCAGCAGTACATCGTGTGGCGCTGACGGACTATGTATGCGTTTTATCAAACAGTGTTTTGGCTCCATCTATCCCGTCATCACCCACATCGTCAATTCCAGCATCACCAGTCACAGCGTCCCTAGCTCATGGAAATTAGCCTTGATCCATCCCATCCAGAAATCACCCAAATCCACAGACGTAACCAACTTCCGCCCCATATCAATCCTTCCCACCATCGCCAAAATCACTGAACGCGTCGTTTACGAGCAGCTTTTTACCATTTCACCTGTCATCATTTATTCTCGTCTAGTCAGCACGGTTTTAGGACGAACCATTCTACCGACACCGCACTTTTAGATGTTACAGACCGAGTGTTTGAGGCTATGGACCGTAAGGAAATCACACTTTTGTGTCTTTTAGATCTGTCCAAATGCTTTGACGTCGTACCGCACGCCGGACTTTTACGTAAACTCGAACTGTACAATGTCGACACGCGCTGGTTTGAGAGTTATTTGGCCGACCACCAGCAGCAGGTGGTAGCTGAGAGCCACTCTGGCTCTCGAACTCTGTCGGCGGCGCTGCCGAACCCGATCGGCACCTATCAGGGGACATCGCTCGGACCGCTCTTGTACAGCATCTATGCTAATGATATGTCGCTATTCGTTGATGACGCGAGCATCGTGCAGTACGCGGACGACACTCAGGTTCTCGTGGGCGGGAGGCCCGGAGACATTGGCGCCCTGATCGGATCCATGGAACGAAATTTGTCACTGCTCTCGAACTGGTTTGGCAAAAATGGTATGAAAATCAACGCTCAGAAAACTCAGCTCATTGTTCTCGGCACTCGTCAAAATCTCCGGCAGCTTCCAACAGTCAGCATCAACTTTATGGGCGCCATTGTCCCCGGCTCTCCCGCGGTGCGGAATCTGGGTGTCGTATTTGACCAATGTATGTCGTTTGCCGCCCATACCGATGATGTCGTCCGGCGCTGCACAGGTATTTTAATCGGATTGAGTCACTCTAGACATATTTTACCACATTCGACGCTCACCACCCTAGTCCAAAGTCTAGTCATTTCGCTCATCCGCTATTGTATCAGTGTGTACGGCTCCTGCAATACCACTCAGCTCGCACGTCTGCAAAAGCTGCTGAATTTCTCAGCCCGTGTGATATCGGGGCGTCGGAAGTTTGATCATGTTAGTGACGTCCTGCGTGACCTGGGATGGCTGTCCGCGCGTAACATGTACTCATATCATGTGCTGACCCTATTGAAACGTATGCTGGTCACTGCGCAGCCCGAGTCAATCGCGAGTAGAATAGTGCATAGACGTGACGTACATCAGCGAGCCACAAGACAGACAGATATGCTACATGTGCCAAGAATCAAATCGGAGTCCGGGAGGAGACGATTCCTCTTTACCGCCGTGATAGCTTTTAATAGCCTACCACCGGCGATGTGTGACCTGAACCTGCGCGCGTTCAAGGCAGAGTTGCGCCGGCACTTGTTGCGACAACAGGCGGCTGACCGTTAGCAATGCTTCATGACGACACGTTTGTGAGAGAGTGACTGCGAACGAATGTCTGTCTGTGTGCGTGCGTGCGTATGTTTTTCCCACGACACCCATCATTTTATATTGCGACCCTGGTTCAGGAATAGCCATTTTTGTGGAATGAGCCTACGATGTCAAATAAATAAATAAATAAATAAATATAAAGGTATCACGCATCTTGTCTCTAGTTACTTTCGGCAATCATTCCTATCGCTATCAATATGAGTTCCCTTTGGCACGTGTCGGTCGGTTGGTTTGGATGACTCCGAATTCTCCCTCAGCTCGGTTCCGATGGCACGCGGTGAGCAGTACCACCTGAGAGTGAGCCAGGTCTCCGACTGGAGCGGCGCGCTGCGACTGGGGGTCACCTGGCACGACCCGGCCACGCTGACCTCCCTGCCGCGCTACTCGTTCCCCGACTTAATCCGGCGGCCCGGGTTCTGGGTGCGCACCATCCGCGAACAGCACCTCAGTGACGGCGCCAGGTGAGTGGGCGGGGGAGGGGAGACAGGGAGGGACAGGGCGAGTGATTCGACAGAAATAAGACGGGATAGAGTTGGGACGGAAGACGGCTTAGGTGACGGGACGGGGTCAGCAACGGGACGAAATAAAATGAAGGAAGAGGTCTATACTCATTCCTAAACTTAAATTCACTCATTTCCTTCATTCAGCGAGACGGGACAGATAAAGGAACGGGTGACAAAGCGGGGTGTGTTATACGGGGTAGTGACGAAACAGGAGGTGTTACAAGATGTGGCCTGATCACTGTGTGGTCGTTGGTGGCCGGGCGACGGGACAGAGCAGCTGCCCTGTCGCGCGCGGAGTCGGGCGTCCACTTAGGGCGAGCTGATGGCGTGCCAACGGCTGTCCCCAAGGAGGCTGTCTTCGTCCCCAGTAAAAAGATTTAATTGGCCAATCGAAGATCCCATCAATGTGGGGCCGTTCGATTCGTTTGATTGATTTGGTCAGTCCTACATCGGACCACCGTTTATCGGAGCCACAAACGGAAGTGGTCGCGTAAGCTTTCAGGAAACGTATTACCTATAAACGAGACATAAACGTTCAGTGCGAAATTGACTTATAGCGTATGGGAAGTCAACATTTGCTGAACCTCTGTTCACTGAATTCTCACTAATAGCTGTTCAAAACGTGCATTCACGTGTGTAACGTGTGCAAATTTACCGGTCTAATCTGTCTAACCAGCTCCGCTCACCCCTGCCCTAATCATCTAACACCATCCACCTTCTGCATCCCCAGGATCCACTTTTGGCTGACACTGGACGGAGTTCTACACGTCTCGGTCAACCACCAGCAGGTCACCCGGCTGGCCACCGGCGTCGGCGAGGACAGGCCGCTCTGGGCCCTGGTGGACGTCTATGGCAACACACAGTCGGTCCAGGTCACCGGGGATGGTGAGATGATGGGGGCAGGTCACGGGGGGTGGTGAGAGACAAGGGTCAGGTCACTGGGGGTGGTGAGATGGAGACAGGGGTCAGGTCACCAGAAATGGTGAGATGATGGGTCAAGTCAGGTCACAGGAGATGGTGAGATGCCGGGGCCAAATAAGGTTATCGGAGGCATAATGAGATGCTGGGGAAGGGTTATCGGGTGCGGCGTAGTAGTTATTACATATACTGATGAAAACGCTACGGATTTGTGTTGCATTGAGAATAGTTTGACAGCCATCTTACTAGAGAGTGTACCTTTCCTCAGGAAAGAAGGGCTGTATGAACAGACCTGGTGTAATGCATGTCGGCTGTCCGACTCAGTGAATGCGATGGCGAAAACCACGGTGACGTGAAAACATGGCGCGGCCGGTGTAACCTGAGCAGGGGTTACACGAATGACGCGCAGCGTGACGCGTGACGCGAATATGTCGAGTGACGTGTGGCGCGGGCCTTGAGTGGTGCCGAGGGATTACGGCTGACACGGCACCACGGTGGGTCTGTCTGTCGGGGTCACGGCACGGCAGGTCTGTCTGTCAGGGACACGGCCATGTCTGTATTGTCAGGGGACAGGGGCACAGTGCGGTGGTCAGAGGCGTGTGATATATTGGCCCCTGTCTATCTGTGGGGATCGGGGCACAACATCCCGTTTCTGTCTGTCTGTTAGGAGCACAGCGCGGTCAAGGTCGTTTGACAGGGGATCCCTGCCGGAGGCTGCATGTCTGTCAGGGACACAAACAATATCTGTTTTCAGGGACGCAGCGCGGTAACTGGTCGGAAACGTCCAATGTAGACGCTTGACCGTGCGTCTGCCCCTATCGGGAATACAACATTCCGTGTCTGTCCATCGGATTGTGGGTCATTGGGGATCACGGTGCGGTCGGTCCAGTCAAAGGCGTGTGACGGATAGCATTCGTCGTGTAACCTCTCTCCAACAAAACGTCGATAGCAGTGTTGGTGGAGGAGTACGATATATAGGTTTATTATGCCAGTGTAGGTTATATGTGACATCTGCCAGAGGGGACACACCGATGCAAATCTTGTCGCGCTATCAAGGATCTAGCACCAACAGTTCGTGACCTATGCCCTGCGACCCGTTCCAGAGGAGACGCCTCTGGAGATTCTGGCCCGCGGTCAGGCGGCGCGGGACCTGTACCGTCAGGTGCGCAGGGCCGGCACTGTACCGGTGTACCGTAGTCGGCTCTTCATCATCGGGAACTGCGGGTAAGGGGTCACTTCTTACGACAAACGATGGGTATGATGCCGTGTAACGAGGCAATATTCCGCGCAACGAGGTAATCTAAATGTAATGACCCGACGACTACGACCTTGGATAGCCACAAAACGTCCCAATGACATCGTAGCCAGCACAGCCTTGTCTTTAGTACAACTATTGTGTCGCACCACTATCGACTGCCTTCATTTCACTCTGTCTGTGGAATGAAGACCCAGATCGACTGTCCTCCTTGCGCCAGGGCCGGTAAGACGACGCTGCGTCACCTGCTGCTGGGCAGCTCTGCCGTCAGCCAGCCACCGCCGACCGCCGGTCTGGACAGCTCGGATCTGTTCACATTTCCCGTGGACGACCCGTCGGCATGGCAACCGGACAGCGCCTCGGTGGGCAGCCGCCGGCCCAGCACCGGGCGCTGGTCGAGTGCCCAGAGAGGTTAGAGGGGGCTGTCTGGAATCGGTTACTGTCACTTTTATGTCATCAGCCAAAATCAATTTCACATGGGCCGCCGTCATCCCAGTGAAAGGTTTCCGGTCGCGCGCACAGAGAAATTAGCTGACATCTGACGAAGAGGACCATTCACTGCCTTTAGCTTGGAGGTTAGCTGTCTTGGACCATGAGGTACAGTCAGTCACTGTCACACTGTCTGTCGCCAGTTGCAAGCCAGTTACCGTCGTATTTCTCAACGTCACGTTTTCACTTTTTAGTATCACCTCTTCCCGTTATCGCATCACGTCTTTACATCACGTCTCTACCTCCACTTCTCTCAGAGCCGGAGGAAATTGAGGAAGAGTACCAGACGGCCATCGCGCGGAACGTGGTCAGAGAGCTGCTCAAGGACCGAAAGTCGCGGGAGATGGCCAAACGGAAGAGCCGCTCATCGTCGCGCCACTTCTCCAGCACGTTCAGGGTCAACCTCAGCCGCAGCAGCCTCAACAAGGTCATGCCCAGGAAGGATTTCGAGGTCAGTTAGACCGCTGAGCAAAGGACATCGCTCGATTGGTTTTTAATTGAATGTCCCTTAGCGTGGTCCCTTAGGTCAGTGTCACTGTCTGGTGTCTAATGCAAGGTTATCGATTTGGTAGAAGGTGCCACGCCCGCGGATACTCAGAATGACACATAAATAACGCAGCAGTCACTCCGGCACGCTCATTACCTATTTGAATATTTCATACTGAAATGACTGTCTGGTCACTGGACGAGAATGGCTATACGAAATTGGAGCTAATGCATATCATGAGACATTATGTCTGTAACTACTCGTAGGCTGTCCCGCATGACATGCATGTATTGCGGTACAGTATGCCCACACTCTCGGCCGCAACGAGTGATGCAGCTAGGCAGCGGAAGTGAGTCAAGTGACTTTTTCTGATGTGTTCAGGTAACTGACGAGGGTGCACTGAAGGAGCTGCCCCCGGAGATTGTCAGGCTGGTGGAGGAGATGCTGGCTGAATCTCCCGACAACAGCCAGGAGAGGAACGAGTCGCCCGAACCGGGACAGAAACAGCAGGTCGGTGGGACGGGACAGGGAAGGGATGGGACAACACGAGGCGGAACGGGACGATAGAGAACGAGCAGTAGTCACTTAAGAACGTTGGAGTGTCATAGGGGTTGATGTGTCTGTGTCTGACGTTTGTCAAGGGACGGACCAAGGACGGACGCGCTCCCTGCAACTAATGTAGTTATAATGCGCGGGCTGGCGGTCACTATGGCATAAGGCAGTAGTCACCCCAATTAAGCATATTCAGCCCTTATTGGGATAGCTGACAGCCCTGTACCGTTATCTAGCAGTCATTGTGAGATTGGTGGCAACTGGCAACCATTGTATCTGAAATGTGCCAGTCGCTGTATCTGACAGGTGACATCGACATGCCTACATTTAACAGGTGACGGTGAGTGTGTGGGACTGGAGCGGCGACCCGGAGTACGAGGCCGTGCTCCTCCCCCTGCTGGGCTACAGAGGCGTCTACCTGCTGGTGTTTGATGCCTCTCAGCCGCTGGATGGACCGGCTACCATTACCACCTGGGCGAAGGGTCAGGTGAGAGCAAGGGATAAGTTAGGATGGGGATTGGGGCATCAGGACAGGTCAGGGTGGGGTATGGGGATAGGTCAGGACGGGACACGGAATAGATCAAAGAGAGATCCGGTGAGAGATGTAAAGCGGGGCGCAGGAATATGCATAAGCTGGACACAGAGGTCAGAACCGTCAGGGCGAGGCACAGGGACAGGTCAGAGACGTATGGTACACAGGATATGTCACGGAAAGCCACGGGGATAGGTCAGTGCAGGGCCGAGTACAAATAGGCTGCAAGCCTGGGACACAGCAGATGCGGGTACGTGCTCACTTAACTGCAGCCGCAACGATCAACGCTAATCCAATCAATGCTTTATAGCATAGACTAAGTAACTTAAGTTCGGCCTTGCCTGTTAATGCCATCCATTACGATTAATTGTTAATTAAAAACGCATTGAAGAGGTTACAAAAATTAATCATGGTTTATGTCTGTCTATATTTACCTGGACAAGCATTGATTTTTCACGAAACGTCATCATTGGACTGCTTGACATTAACCCTCGCCCGCACATGCCATTTTCCCATCCTAGAACGCACATGGGGGGGGGGGGGTGGTTGCCACCACCCCCCGCGCCATTTCGTTCCTGTTGGAGATAGAGCTTAGCAGTAAAGACCAAAGATTCTTTGGGAAGAGACGAATCCAATGATACCCAGTTTTACCTTCTCAGGTCAGTCATTGACCTTCCAGGTCAGGTCAAACTAAAAAATGTTGCTGTTTTGGGTCACCGTTGGATATCAAGTGCGCTTCTTATCAAATACCGATGACGATGCTGTTTTCTGGTGCCAAGCCAGCTAGAACCTCTTAGTCACACTACCCGACCAGAATTTTGCTGCTGAGGTCATTTCAGGTCAAGTTAGGTCAAGGTCAATTATATGTATAATATATGACTGCGAGGCGCTGGTGGTGCAGCTGGGTACGACGCGCTCTGCATTTCTGGCCACCTGTTACCGCGCTCCAGACGCTGACCGAGAGATGGAGGCTGTGGCGGACCTCCTGCGCGGGCTCCACAGGACCGGCCGCCCGTTCCTCCTGGTGGGAGACTTTAACCTGCCAGAGATCCAGTGGTCGGGCGACAGAGAGGCCGAACTGAGGAGACGCACTGCACGAGCCACCACCTTCATCGACGCCCTCGCGGAGTGTGGCGCGGTTCAGTCGGTGACGGCGGCAACGAGAGGCGTCAACGTCCTCGACCTGGCGGTGTCATCAGGAGGCACTGTGACGTCGGAGGTGCGGGACCAGCTGTTCGCCTCCGATCATCGTGTGGTCGAGACGCGTCTCAGAATCGACACCGGCCCCACGCCCCGAGCATCCAGAACCAGGGTCTACAACTATAAGCGCGCTGACTTCGCCGGCCTGCGTCACGCCTTGCGCGCGGTGCCCTGGACTGTGCTCGAGGCTATGGACGTCAACGGTGCAGTAGAGTTTTTCTATGATGCCGTATTCGCCGCTGTTAGTGACTATGTGCCTATCATAGAGCTGCGCCAGAAATACCCACCATGGTTCGATCGCACTATCAGGGATCTCCTACGGGAGAAGGAACGGGCCCACAGGCGTAAGAAGGCGGACCCCTGCGCTGCGAATGTAGAGCAGCATGCTAGAGCCAAAGCTGAGTTTAAACGTCAGGCTGATGCCGGATATAGAGCGTATTTGTTGGGCCTCGTCCGTGATTTTAAGGATAATCCCAAGCGATATTGGACTTTTATCAAGTCCCTGAAGTCAAATAACCACGTATCTCCTGTCTTAGAGTATGCTGGTAGGCTGGTGACAGAGGCGTCTGCTAGAGCTAACTGTTTCAACCAGTGCTTCTCAGAGAAGTTCAGCGCGCCCTACGTCGGCGACTTACCAGCCGCCCCTGTTCTCGACGCCCCAGGCCTGTCCACGTTCACCGTACCCTGTGGTCGAGTGGCACAGCTCCTGCGTGAGCTCAGCCCTCACAAGGCCTGCGGCGCTGACGGCCTCAGTGCACGAATTATTCACGAGTGTGCTGAGGAGATTGCGATCCCTCTCGACATCATATGTCGATTGTCGGTGCGGTCCGGAGTGTTCCCATCGTCATGGAAGCGGGCCAACATCATTCCCGTCTTCAAAAAGGGCTCTAAAAAGCTTCCATCTAACTACAGACCGGTATCTTTATTATCACTCTGCTCAAAAATTCTGGAGAAGGTAGTGTGCGAGGACCTGCTCCGTGCATGTCTTCCTGCACTGCCTCCTTCCCAGCACGGATTTCTTCCAAAACGCTCTTGCATGAGCAACCTTACCTGTTTCTTGGAACACTGCTGGACCTCACTGACAAAGGGATCGCAAACGGACGCTATCTACACAGATTACTCGTCAGCTTTTACCAGTGTAAGCCACAAGCTGCTTTTACACAAGCTGGAGCACTCTTTTAACATATCGGGTCTTGCACTTGGCTGGGTTGAGTCTTACCTTAGCCAGCGGTCCCAGCGTGTAGTGCTGGATGGAAAACACTCTGACTGGACTCCGGTCATCTCCGGAGTGCCGGAGGGCAGCATCTTGGGCCCCCTGCTCTTCACCTGCTTTGTCGCTGACCTCCCTAAACACATCGGGTCATCTTGCTTGTCATACGCTGACGACGTCAAATTTTTTCACCGTGTATCCTCTCCTGAGGATGCCCACGCCCTTCAGGCTGACTTGGACCGTCTCAGCCGGTGGTCAAGGACCTGGCACCTGAAGCTCAACCCGGCCAAGTGCAAGACCATCACCTTCACTATGCGCTCATCACCTCATGTCGCTTCATACGCGCTCGACGGTCACCAGCTCGAGAGGTGTGTTAACGTGCGTGACCTTGGCATCATCTTAGATAGCAAGCTTAACTTCGCAGACCATGTTGATGCTATAGTCTCGAAGTCGAACCGCATGCTGGGCTTGCTGATGAGGAGCATGCAGGTCTCGACACGGGTGCATCGAGCGCAGTTCGACTGTGTCGCAGCCCTCACCGCCTACAAGGCTCACGTGCGTTCCGTAATGGAATACGGCTGTGTTATCTGGTCGGGTGCCGCTGTCACCCACCTGCGCCGATTAGAGCGACTACAGCACCGTTTTCCTCATGTGGCTGGGCGCCCGGACACAGGCGAGGTGCCCTTCACTCGACTATGCATCGCTGCTTAAACTGTTCGGCTGCGAATCAGTGAGGTCACGATTCACACAGTGTGACATCAACTACATGCGCTCCGTGTTCAGTGGTCGCTTGGACTGTCCCGACATCTTGGCCATGTTTTCTCTATCGGCACCCGGCCGTCGCACGCGCCGTCCCGAGCTCTTTCATGTGCCGCGCGGAAGAGTGGACACTGTGAAGCGAGGATTTCTGATTCGTCTTCCCCAGCACGTGAACTCGCTTGTCCACAGCAGCCCCGACGCCGATTTCTTTATGCCTAGCTGCAGGCTAAGGTCGGAGATAGCCAAATTTGCTGACGACCAGGGAACATACTTAGCCTAAGGTCACTGATGTAGCTCCTCATGTAGCAACTAGCCGTTACCGGTTTTATTCTCATTGTCATTGTCTACGCTCATTTTTCGTCTTTTTTGTCTTTTTATTTCATCCACTGTCATTCTTGCTTATACCTACACTCTTTTAGGATTTCAGGCTATTGCCTGTGCTGTTTACTTTTAGGGGATTTCTCATGTCAGTATACTTTTAGCCTCGCTCATTAGCCAGGTGCCTATACTTGTATATTCTCTTAGGCTTTTGCTCATGTCTTCTATATTCTTAGGCTGTTGCCTGTCGGTTTACTTTTAGGCTCTTGCCATCTTGTTAATTTATTTGGATTTTGATCAGTGTTATCATTCATATTTATTTCCATCCAGTGTGTGTGAGTGGTTGTTATTGTCAGTGTGCGACTGCATCCGTAAGTGGGGCTTTGCCTGTGGACGCTATGCCAATAAATAAACAAATATGTGTTTGTATGTCTGTGTGTGTCTGTGTGTATACTGATGTGTGCACCGATTGTTTTTGGGTCCATATCACATAAAATCATGATCTGAGAAGCTTTTACCAAAAATGCAGTCAAAAAACTTCACAAAAAGTAAATTCAGCTTGCCTAAAACGCAATTATCTTAGATGACCTAGGTTGACCTTGACCCTGACCTTGACCCCTGTACATCGTCGAACAACATGTTCCATGATAGGTGGGAGGTAAGACTGGCAAAAAGGCCGAAATCAGGGTGTCAAAAGCTCACAAGGCCCATGGCAAACGCAAGATGTTGAGAATTGGCCATTTGGGTCATGACATGACCTGAAAAACAAGGTCATATCTCCGAAACCAAAAATCACAGAAACTTGAAATTTTCAGTGAACGTCAAGAAAGGATAGTCGAGCAGCTATACAAAAAATCAGCCTTCTAGCTCTAAAAATGTTGAGTGCAGAGCAGAAAGACTGCCTGGGGGGGTGGCAACCACCCCCCCCCCCCATTGTGCGGGCGAGGGTTAACAAATGTCACCGAACCCTGACCTGACCTCCCCTGACTGCCGTTCGCGCACTGCACAGGCTAGCGAGACTCCGGTGGAGGGCCGCACTCGTCTGGACCAGCTGCTCGACTGGCTGCAACTGGTGCACACAGCTGCCACACCGGGCTCAGCTGGCGAGGGGCTCGGCACGGGCACCCTGGCGCCGCCCGTGCTACTGGTGGGTGTGTGGAGCACACAGGACGACCGGCCGCCGCCCACAGAGACGGAGGTGGGTACGGGAGGCGCAACGGAGAATTACACAAAACATCCGTTGTTGGTCGTTTGCTGCACGGAGAATGAGGTTGCTTAGGGTCTTGGCTTATCGGTTTAGTGAAACTAGGCAGTATGGGAGAAGGGCAAATAAACGATTTCATGGTTGCAACACTCTCCTCCACATCTCATAGTGCAAACTGTAATGCGTTCATATGATAATTTTCGATATGAACGCATTACAGTTTGCACTATGAGAGCCTGCCACTCCCCGTGACGCCAACTCCTCCCATCTCCCCGCAGCTGCAGCAGAGCCGTCAGCTCATCCGTCAGGCCCTGGAGGGCCGGCTCAGCGGCCGGCACGTTCACAGCCAGGTGTTAACCGTGCCAATATCGGGGGACGCGGCGGCCCTGAACGCCCTCAGAGGCTGTCTCGGGCAGCTGACTCTGAGCCAGGCGTATATGGGTGAGAAGGTGCCCGTACGGTGGCTGCGGCTCGAAGAGGAGGTGGCCAGGAGGGTGCGATCCGGGCTGGTGGTGGCTACATGGCCAGAGGTGAGAGGGTGGAGAGGGAGAGAAGGAGAGAGGGAGAGAGAGTGAAAAGAGAGAGAGAGAGAGAGAGAGAGAAGAGAAGAGAGAGAGAGAGAGAGAGAAGAGAGAAGAGAGAGAGAGAGAGAGAGGAGAGAAGAGAGAGAGAGAGAGAGAGAGTCGTAGAAAGACGGCGAAAACGGCAATCGAAAGCTCTCAACAAGGCGGATCTTAAGAGCCCAATTTTTTTTTGCTTAAGTAAGTCAGAGGTCAGGTCAAGGTCAGGTCAAGGGTACAAAATGCAAGTTTCTACAGTATCGGCCTTGCACCGTAGTTGCCGAAGAATGGACTGAGACTGATTGCCCAAAACGTGTTCTTAGACTACCAAGACAATATTCGTTGCATACAATGTCATTCAAAGGTCAAGGTCAAGGTCAGGTCAGGTCACCAAAAACAAAATATAGAAAAGGGCATGTGCGACACATGTTTTATGGGTCATTTTACTCATAGAATCAATCGGCACACTCAATAAGTGATATGGACCACCTCTGGATGAATCTCAGGTCGAGGTCAGGTCAAGGTCAGGTCAAGTGAGGTCAAATTTTGAAGTTGGTTGTTAAGGCCTAAAAAGGTGTCTATCTGATGCAGTTTTTCACGGCGAATCGAATGGTGCTATTTTTGTTTCTGTACGAGGTCTAGAACTTCCAAAAAATCATTTTTCAAAATTTTTGTGTGTCGTGACGTCATACAATTTTGAATAACTCCAACTTTTTGAACCGATTCTTCTAAAAATTGGTATGTTGGTGCACATAGACCACTTTCTGACATATATTCCGGTTTTTCGATGCACTCAAAATTTTGGATTTTATAATTATTTTCCCAAAAAAGTCAATTTTTGAGAAAAAAAATTGGGCCAAAATCCAAATTTTCAAAAAACCGAGATAGCCATTTGATAGACAAAGTAGAATCACGTATAACCTTTTTTGTTACGTCTTGATTCCTTTCAAATGAAGATGTTAGCGGCGTTTGAAATTTTGCCGTTTTTGAGGCGAAAATGGCGAACATGACGTCACTAAAACGTCAATTTCTCAAAAATTTTCCGACGGATTTCGCTCAAATTTTCAGGGAACGTGTCAAATTGATGTATGATAAGGTATCGAAAGTTTGACGTCACTGGCGTAACGCGTTTAGAATTTATTGGCGAAAAACGGGAGGGGGCAGATTCTGCCCCCCCCCCCAGCGGGGCGCGGGACATACCTCTCACTGCCCCACGCCCCTTCCCCCAGATGGAGACGATGGCGGCGGAGCACGACGTGGCCGGTGAGGAGCTGACGACCTTCCTGCGCTTCCACCACGACCAGGGCAGTCTGCTGCTGCACGGAGACGGCCCGCACCGGCTGGTGCTCCTCTCGCCCCAGTGGCTCGTTCAGCTCTTCGCTGACGTCATCAACGCCAAACGGAAATACTACCAGGTGAGCACGCTTCACTACTAGCATTCGTAAATGAGTTCAACATATATATTGGACTATGTAGTCGGAGCCACTCATTACCCATATAACTATCTTGCATCAGTTGCGTCTGTTGCATATTCCTGTCACTACTGGGCTCATAGATGGAAAAAGCTAGTCAAAAGAGCCTGGACTTATGGAAGCCATCCCAAAGAACCATCGCAGACAGCCCTCGTCTAACCCACTGTTGCCACCACTAGACCAGCCTGACCCCTAACATCACCATCAAGTCGAACGACACTGTTACAATCCGGTGTGATCTTACCGACTCATTGTTACTGACAGTCGGCGCCCAGCGGCTGGCGGCGTCTGGAGTCCGAGGGGGTGGTGGAAGCGGCCTTGCTGAGTCGACACTGGGACCAGTTGACCAACAGTGCCATCACATTGGGCGTCCTGCGCCGACTGGGGCTGGTCTGCCCGCTGGCGCCGCCGCCGCCACTCTACGGTTAGTCACTGGGAAGTGGGATACCGACGTGGCCGGTTGTGAGCTGATACGTCCATTTTGCAAATTTATCTTCCATCGGATAATATCCGATATTCACATCACTTCGAGATATGACCTGACTCTGACTTACCACCTGACCTCTGACCTCTGTTCCCAGACCTGGCGGAGAGCGTGCCTCTTCCCGAGCTGCTGCTGCTGCCCCAGCCTCATCTCCCCTCAGGCGAGGAGCTCAGAGGAGACCCCTCGGTCACCCTCTGACTCGCTGACCCTCTTCATCGACTTCTGCGGCTTCCTCACCGGTGAGAAATGACCTTAAATTGAGATGTGACCTCTAGTGCTGAGCGCAGACCTCCACCACGATTGTCCTATATTAATCGATAATTTGCATCGATGACCTCATCAAACGATTATGACTGAATAGTTTCCCGTCATCAACTGAATTCAAGAATCATTCATCGATGAGGCATGGCCGAACCACAATGAGCCGTACCAAACTATGCTAACTTCACCCTCTACTGTCTAGCGAGTCTGGTGAGTCAGCTGGTGGTACGGCTGGCCGTCTGGACCCAGGAGAGCTCCCACCGGGCGCCACACGTGTCCTACGGCCGGGCGCGGCTCTTCGTGGACGGCTCGCACGAGCTGCTGCTGACCGCGGCGCCGCTCCACCTGGCCAGAATACAGGTGAGCAGCCATCCGCTCTTTGGAAACTGAGAAACCGTCCTATCTTCGCCCACTGAGGAACCGTCCTCTCTCCGTTCACCGAGAAACCGTCCGCTCTTTGTCCACTGAACAACCGTTCTCTCTTCGTCCACTAAGCAGCCATCCACCCTCCATCAACGAGCGACCGTCCACTCTTCGTGAAGGGTTCATAGTTGCTGCTGACCGTGGCACAGCTGCACCAGGCCAGAATACACGTGAGAGGAGACCAAACCCACCATTGGATCCAGCAGTCCCGTCCTTGGTCCGAATAGCGACAACATCGTAATTCGTTCGTACCGATATTCGAGTAGGTACCCAAAGATTTCAGTATGGAGTTCAGTGAAGATTTAGGATAGGTTAGCAGTGTCTTTAGGAGGAGCTGTTGGCGTGCATTGTGTATGCGGCAGCTGGAAGTTTCAATGAAACCGGCTATCGCTGGTAAAGTCAGCTGTCAGCTGGCGGCTGATCGTATAAAACACGTATGTTGTCCTGCAGGTGACGGTGGCGCGGATATCTGTGCTGATGGAGGACGGACTGGAGTCGTACCCCACCCTGCCGGACTGCGGACCCACCGGGGGACCCAGCCCCGACGCCTGTCTCCAGGTCAGTACGAACCCACCGGGGACTCGGCCCCACGTGGGGACCCAGCCCCGACGTCTGTCTGCAGGTCAGTCACGAGACGTGGTCTCTAATTAACGGAAGGCAGTCGCAAATATCAGTCATAGAATTTGGTCAAGAAGGCCAGTCACTTGACAGAATCACGGAGGTCGGCTTTGCTTGAAATGATAACGTGGAACGCCATGGTTTCTTGCTAATACAAATAGCAATACCATGTAGACAGTTTTAGCATATATACCGACTTTCGTCGACACGATATCTGTAGCATTCACCATTGTCCCGTTCCAGATACATCGCCGACTGGACTCCACATTAGCCGAGGTGCGCGCGGCACTGTGCCGCCGTCTGCAGTGGCAGTTTACCGTCGAGTGTCCGTGCGGCCGTCCGTGCACCGTCCACCGGCGCGCCGACTGCCCGGCCCCCGAGTGTCTGCACACGCTGCCGCTGAACCAGTGCCTCTCCGGAGACACCGTCTACTGCGACTTCCGACGGGTGTCCGTGGAGCACGTGAAGCGCTGCTTCGAGCGCCGCCAGCCCGACCGGACGACCGGTCAGTGGACGGGGCAGATGAGGAAAGTGGCAGATTGAGAACCGCCATATCCATTCTTTCTTGATGAAGTGGCAAAAGGTTCAACGTGAAATACGTTACGAACTACATGAGGCAGTAGCTACTCGTGGCATTGCTTGCTTCAAGTGACGCAAATGGCCATGTCAGGTTGTCCGAACCATGTCCCATACTCATCACACCTTTAGACTGTCACCCCAATGGGGTCCAATAAAATCTAAATCTGAATCTGAATCAGTCCCAGCTGATCCCCGCCCTGATGTTCCCTCAGAAGTCAGCCTGGCACCTGTGCTTCCCGCCCGCTACCTAAGTCGCCACGAGAGTCTCAGCTCGGCCTCTGCGCCTCAGTGGGTCAAACAGGCCGCCAAACTGCTCAACGCCGGAGGACCCGGATCAGACTGGATGGCAGTCGCCAAGAAAATCGGTCAGCTGGGTTCTGAGGCGGACGGGTTGGGAGGAACACTAGCAGGGATGCT